GTGAGCTAGACGGGGAGGGGATGGAGAAATGGGGAGCAAAAGAGACTTCACATCGCTTTTAACGACATTATCGCGGTCCATGGTGTATATAATTTAGTACGATGACGCAATGGAAGATACTGCAGAAGGGTGCTCTCTGAGAGGGAGGCTCACATACTCATTTCAGGCCGCACATATAATGAAAGAGATCTAGTGCTTTATGTGATTGTACCATCTATTTAAAATAGAGATTCAAGTTTATTCATTGTTCAGGGTTATTAACCTCATTAATGACAAACAAAGGGACAGAGCAGCAAAACCGCTCGCTGGCAGCTGACCAAGCCACCCAATTATGAACTATTCTTTTTATTTAACCTTCCTGCTGAGATTTACCAGATGTCAAAATATCAAATCCCAGAACAGTTAAATCTATTAATTAGTCAATGAAATGTAAATTAACTGCAAATTACTGCTTTAGAAAGCTCACAGCTTTCACAAACGTGCATTAATATAAAGGGAAGTTGGGTTTTTTTGTTTGTTTGAATCCATTTAATTGGCATAATTAAATGCTGTTACTCCAGTGAGAAATATCTGGATGTTTTAGTTAATCAAGTTGAACGGTAGATAAATAGAGTCTTCTGGTGTTGTAATTACTATAATGGCAGTGCCTAAAATGAATATTTCTGCCCGAACGCAGCCATGCAAATTTGTCTAAATTAATGTCGAAATCATGAAATTTAAAAGCTGATATAAGAGGTCACTCTCTGAGCGGATTAATTTGGGTATTCTGCGCCGTGGTTGTTTGTTTATTTAGTATTTTGATGTCACTGCCAGTAAAATGAAATTAAGACATCAACACACACACACACACACACACGGGGTTCTTTATCGCTCGCACGCAGCTAATTTAGTGCTTTCTCTAGACAGGTTTGTTTAGAAGCAGATCTTTTTGAGGCGAGACAGTAAATTTGCTGTGCGCTTTGGAGATAAATATACGTGCATCTGCATTGATTTATTTATTTTCTTTTATTTCTTTACACTGCTTTGGTTCTTTTGTGTCTCAGTGTCAATCAGATCGGTTTGCTTAAGGTTATTTACCTGCAAAGCAAAGAAAAGGGGAGAGGAATTGGGTTCATGTGACAGTATGCCCTGATAATATCCAGGAGATTTCATGGTGGCAGCTATCAGCGCAGCAGTGAGAGGTGATTTTGAAGCTGTCACAGTAAAAAAAGGACAAGCGACATATCGCTTGAATGTATTATTATTATTATCCTGAAACTGTGCTGCACATACTTGTATGAAATGCCACACATATTATTAGCATGCAGAGAATGTGCTGCTGCATTCAGCAGATTAATTCAACCACACGTTGAGTGTTATTTTTCAATTCAAAACAGCTCCCAGTTGTTTTAAGTATTCTGGAGTGAGCGTGATTCATTCCTTTGTATGCCTATTTATGGGTTATATAGAAAGAACAGATTCTTTGTCATGAAATAGCGGCTGTAATACAAACCCACCAGCCACTTCATTAGGTACATGTGGCTTTACTCCTTTTTGCATTCAGAGCTGACTTAATTCTTCATGGCATAGATTCAACTGGATGCTGGAAACATTCTTCAGAGGCTTTGGTTTGACGTGATAGCATTATGCATTTGCTGCAGAAATATTGCTTGCACATTCGTGATATCAATCTTCCATTCCACTCCATCCCAAAGTTGCTCTATTGAACTGAAATCAGGTGACTGTGGAGGCCATTTGAGAGCAGTGAACTTACTGTCATTTTCAAGAAAGTAGTTTGAGATGATTTGAGCTTTGTGACATGGCGTGCTATCCTGCTGGAAGCAACCATCAGAGGATGGGTACACTGTGGTCATACTAGGATGGACATAGTCAGGGACAACACTTGTGTATGGAGTGGTGTTTAAACAATGCTTGACTGGCACTAAGGGCCCCAAAGACTTCCAACCTTTTACATCACCAGCAACAGCTGGAACTGTTGTGCTTTCATGTTGTTTATACCAAGTTCTCAACCTATTATTCTAATTACTTACAGAAATCAGCAGAGCAGGTAACATTTTCCAGTGTTTTATTGGCTAATTTTGGTGAATTGTAGCCTTAGTTTCCTGTTCTTTAGATGGCAGGAGTGGCAGTGGGTGTGGTCTACTGCTGCTACAACAGAAGACCACACACACTGCTTCAAGGATTTGATGTATTATCCCTTCACAGATACTCATTTGCATACCTTTGTCGTTATAAATGTACTTTTCTAAGTTGCCTTCCTATCAATATGAAGCAGTCTGGCCATTCTCCTCTGAGCTCTGAAATCAACTAAGCACTTCTTCAGACTTGAGCTGCAATGCATTGGGCTGCTCCCACCTGAGTGGCTGATTTGTATTAACAAGCAGCTTAAAATGTGGCCTGGGGGTGTATTTTATAAACTACTTTTAGACATTTTAGGCAACCACGTGTGTTATTTAATTTTTAAAAGCCACACATTATATAACTACACTGTATTTATGGGCTAAACAGTTGCTTGGTTGAATATAAATTACATAATTACAGAATCATAGAAATTATCAGCGGCATAGCACAACAGCTGCTATGTAGCGTTTCTCATGCCAAACATTTCCTCCTGACAGAAGCCTCTTTTTCTACCTGCAGGAGTTCCAAAGAGAGGTGATTTTGAGAGTAACAGTCCTCAGGCCTGCTATGGTTTCCTACCTCCTTACATTCTCCCGCTGTCTTCTTATGTGTGTGTTCGGTTGGTTTGTTGGAATTCAGACCTGACGGCGCCTTGAAAAGATTATTTTTGCTCTGAGCACTTAACCTCTGAAAATTAAAAAAACAAAAAAACATTAGCCTGGAGGCTATAGCCTGCAGATGGGTTACAAATGAAAGAAATAGTTCAGTATTGCAGCTCAGCATTCCTCTCATGTTAGTTCACTGAGTGTTGAGCAGAAGCTGGGAGGGGATGAGCTCAGCATTAAGACAGCATGCAGTGCTAAACAGCTACCCTTCATGTGCCAATGTTTAAAAATACAACTACTCTCTTGTTTTATCCCTAAAAAGCAAATGTCAAAATTAGAATTTGTGATATCCTATTTATGCACAGTACCCTGCAAAAATACAGGGAGTGCAGAATTATTAGGCAAATGAGTATTTTGTCCACATCATCCTCTTCATGCATGTTGTCTTACTCCAAGCTGTATAGGCTCGAAAGCCTACTACCAATTAAGCATATTAGGTGATGTGCATCTCTGTAATGAGAAGGGGTGTGGTCTAATGACATCAACACCCTATATCAGGTGTGCATAATTATTAGGCAACGTCCTTTCCTTTGGCAAAATGGGTCAAAAGAAGGACTTGACAGGCTCAGAAAAGTCAAAAATAGTGAGATATCTTGCAGAGGGATGCAGCAGTCTCAAAATTGCAAAGCTTCTGAAGCGTGATCATCAAACAATCAAGCGTTTCATTCAAAATAGTCAACAGGGTCGCAAGAAGCCTGTGGAAAAACCAAGGTGCAAAATAACTGCCCATGAACTGAGAAAAGTCAAGCGTGCAGCTGCCAAGATGCCACTTGCCACCAGTTTGGCCATATTTCAGAGCTGCAACATCACTGGAGTGCCCAAAAGCACAAGGTGTGCAATACTCAGAGACATGGCCAAGGTAAGAAAGGCTGAAAGACGAGCACCACTGAACAAGACACACAAGCTGAAACGTCAAGACTGGGCCAAGAAATATCTCAAGACTGGTTTTTCTAAGGTTTTATGGACTGATGAAATGAGAGCGAGTCTTGATGGGCCAGATGGATGGGCCCGTGGCTGGATTGGTAAAGGGCAGAGAGCTCCAGTCCGACTCAGACGCCAGCAAGATGGAGGTGGAGTACTGGTTTGGGCTGGTATCATCAAAGATGAGCTTGTGGGGCCTTTTCGGGTTGAGGATGGAGTCAAGCTCAACTCCCAGTCCTACTGCCAGTTCCTGGAAGACACCTTCTTCAAGCAGTGGTACAGGAAGAAGTCTGCATCCTTCAAGAAAAACGTGATTTTCATGCAGGACAATGCTCCATCACACGCGTCCAAGTACTCCACAGCGTGGCTGGCAAGAAAGGGTATAAAAGAAGAAAAACTAATGACATGGCCTCCTTGTTCACCTGATCTGAACCCCATTGAGAACCTGTGGTCCATCATCAAATGTGAGATTTACAAGGAGGGAAAACAGTACACCTCTCTGAACAGTGTCTGGGAGGCTGTGGTTGCTGCTGCACGCAATGTTGATGGTGAACAGATCAAAACACTGACAGAATCCATGGATGGCAGGCTTTTGAGTGTCCTTGCAAAGAAAGGTGGCTATATTGGTCGCTGATTTGTTTTTGTTTTGTTTGTGAATGTCAGAAATGTTATATTGGTTTCACTGGTAAAACAAAAATAATTGAAATGGGTATATATTTGTTTTTTGTTAAGTTGCCTAATAATTATGCACAGTAATAGTCACCTGCACACACAGATATCCCCCTAAAATAGCTAAAACTAAAAACTACTTCCAAAAACATTCAGCTTTGATATTAATGAGTTTTTTGGGTTCATTGAGAACATGGTTGTTGTTCAATAATAACATTATTCCTCAAAAATACAACTTGCCTAATAATTCTGCACTCCCTGTATGGTGATAATCAACTGCAGCTCAGCGAAAATATGACAAAACAAATCTCACTATTTGAACCCAATAACGATGTAAGTAGACCTAGTTTGGGGTATGGACAGACTTCTGGCAAATACAGTTTGTAAAGAGTAAATAGTCTTATAAATGTTTCCTGTTCCAGAGTTTGTCATTTGATTCAATCAGAAACAGAATCGTTTGAATCATATTTGCTCGAAGCAAAGCAGCTTTGCTTTTTTACATCATGAAAACCCAGAAGGACTTTTATTTTGGAAGAATGGCATTTGTGCATTTTTATCAGTTGCAATTGTATAATAATGGCATATAAATACACTAATCCAGCCTATTTTGGTTATTTTTTTCAGGCATTAGAAACCTTTGCTGGACGTAAGTATGCTAAATATTCTGCGGAAGTTATTCTAACATTACTGAAATCCAAATGTAATTCTTGACTCATTTTCGCCTCTTTTCTGTCTTTGTTGATTCTGTGTGAAGGGTTTGATGGAGAGCTGGTCGGATGTCAGCGGGAACTATTGTCATAACCGGAGGAATACTTGCCGGAGTGATACTGCTGTGCATTGTAGCAGTTCTCTGTTACTGTAGACTCCAGGTATTACTGTGCACGTTCATGTTTCTTGGTCTTTTAGGCAGTTTGCTCTTCACCCAAAAGCTCTTTTTACATTACTGATGTTTACTGGCTTAACAAACTCAACTAACTAATCTAGTTTGTGACCGTGTGCAATGAACTTGCAGTCTTATTGTCTTTGAAATACTTGCTTCAAAGATGGGCACCACTCGCACTCAGCTGGCATCTTAAAAGCCAGTGAAAAAATGGCAAATTGACACAGTCTGCTATTAGTCTGCAATTAAGTAGGGTCAAGTTGGCAGTTACTTGCTATCTGTTTGATATAATACTGTGATAAATTACTGCAAATCTGTTGCCATCTACATGCACAGTAATTCACACTAATTGGAAATTCGCATTAAATTGCAATCAGAGTCCAGACTGAACTTCTCAGGCTTGAAACAGAAAGGTTTCCACACATAGTGTTGTGTCCAGGATTTTAATTTACTAGCAAAATATCATAGACGCTAGCCACTTGCTTTTATTAATAAATATAACCACAAGGCAGAGCTGGTTGCCAAACAAACAAGTTGGTAACCAGCTGGATGAAGTCACCTTATCCAAAGAGACCCATTGCAGACTAGTTGCACTTGTTGCCACATATTGATTTAGCTGATTGCAATCTGTGTGCGTTTAAAAATTAAGATATAAAATTCATTTCAATGCAATTTTATTCATATAGTGCCAATTTAAAGCAACAGTCAGCCAGTAAGGTAAAGACAGACAATTATAGAGTAAAAAAACAAGAAATTTAAATCACCAGACCACCAACCAAGTTGGCAGACTTCAAAAAGTAGTAACAGGGATGAGTACTCAGCTGTCTGACCGTCCAGCTGTCATTGTCCATGTCCACAACAGAGTAAATTCTAGGCTTCAGTCAGATTGCAATAGTTAAAATAGAAACAATCAAACAAACAAGCAAAAGTGGTTGCTGTGAGATTGAGGTTGTCGAGCGCTCAACCTGGAGGCGACCTACTTCCAATCGTTCCCTAAATTTGCCAAAAATTCACTTCAGTCACCGGGCAACTCGAGGATGTTGCAGTCCTATTTTTAATCTAGTGAGACTGAGCCATAACCCAGTCTAATTGTCTGCCACCTTAACATGGTTTTCCACATTCTGTCTCATTTATGTAACATAGCACTCTAGTACCAAGTCACAGCTGGATCTGGTTACAATAAAAGCAGATGTGGTGGCCAGAGCAGTCAGTGGTTCAACATTTGCACAAAGCACAGTGCAGACTGCCCTTCCAAAGCCTAGTGACAGCTGTCTGAGTATACTGTCAGTCTTTTCACCTGCCTCTGAAAAAAAACTACTTCTAAGTATTCCCACCATGTTAAACTGTTAAACTGTCACTGTTCATATTTTGATTTTGATATCACAACTTTATTTTGCTGTGATAAAGCAATCAGAATCACAGAATGTTTAAGAAGACATCCAAACCCTTGTTCTTCTTGCTCACACCCTGGTGCCTTCTTTGTCATCCTCCTGCAGTATTACTGCTGTAAGAAAAATGATTCTGAGGTGGACGTGGCCTCCATGGCAGGACCGGATCCTCTCGCTCACTTTCCATGCAACGCCTGCAACGCCCTCGCCATGGACGGCACTGCCATCACCCCCGTCTCTCTGGATCAGCTGGATTCGGGTTCTCACCACTGCCCCAGCTGTTCACCGTACACCCTGCGCTCGGGACTCACAGACGACATGCGTAACGGAGGGGAGCGTCTCGGCTTCCATACTTACTACGAGAACCCGTCTGTATCTCTTCCCCTGTCGGTTCACCCTCAGAGCTCCTCCCCTCTGAGCTACTGCAGTCCCTCGGACACGTTTCCTCCCCCGCCGCGCTCCTACAGCACTGACGTCTGACCTTTGCTTCACTGTACAGGCACACACACACACACACACCTACAGCGTCTAGCACATGCCCATATTACTGTACATGCCCACATAATTTGAAGGGAAGTGACCCATAAACTAAGCCTACTGATAGAGCCCCATGGTGGGTGACAAATCTGGGCATGATCTGCAGCAGGGAAATATTACATAAAATTGGCCACATTACTCTTTAAAAAAACTCATATTTTAATCTTAGTACGACTTTTACTTAAACAAAAGCTATAAAATGTATAAGTACCATTACAGTTAGCATCTCATTGAGCCCGGTCACACATGATAGTGTTTTTAGTAAATGGCTCAAAGGTTGGAGCTAGTCTACACACTCTATAAATGCATCTGGGGCAATGAAGTCATTCAGGTTACATATGATCAGGGACACATAACAAAGCTTTTAGTACAGAGTAAGCTCAGACAGTCCCCAGGTAGAAAAACAGGCGAGGTTTTGGGGCGTTAAAGTCATTTAGGCTACGTTCACACTGCAGGTCTTAATGCTCAATTCCGATTTTTTGATCAAATCCGATTTTTTTTGTCTGCTCGTTCACACTACAAATAAAATGCGACAGCAAACGCGCTCTAGTGTGAACGCTCAAAGCGGCCCGCATGCGCAAAAGAAGATGTCACACACAACGCGCTCTGTTTAGACCCAGAGCAACAGTATTGTTTGACTGATGGCCCTTAATATAAAGACTTCGGACTTCACGTTTCCCAATTTTTGCTTTAAGTTATTTTGTTATTTACATAATAATGTAAATAACCTAATAATGATCCTTATTGCTGTTTAAGAGAGGAGCGGTGCTTCAAAGATAGCTGCAGATTTCTGTCAGAATCTGCAGATTATACATTACAAATAAAATGTTTACGTTGTCTTCCCAACAGTTTCACTGACATCTACACTGGATGGCCAGGAAGCGTTCGCAATGTCTTCTCGGGCACTTCTCTGGCGCTGATAATTGGCTTCAGTCTTGTGTCGGTGACGTAAAAGGCGGATTTAATGCGACTTGACCGTTCAAACAGCAGTCGCTTTCTAAAACATCGGATATGTATCGGATTCGGTACCACATACGAAAGTGACCCAGATCGGATTTGAAAATATCGGATTTGCGCCGTTCACACTGTCATAGCATGATCGGATATGGGTCGCATAGGGTCAAAAAAATCAGATTTGATGCGCTTTCGCCTGCAGTGTGAACGTAGCCTAAGTCATTAAAAAATTGTGACATATAGAATTTGTTTTTTAATTTCTGTGAAGTTTTGTGAATGTAATTATGTAATTTATAGAGAAAAAATGCATTCAGTTAGACAAGAAAAGGCTTAGTACTAAATTACAAACATGTTTTATTAAACTCAGTGGAAAAGCAGGACATTATTTGCAAATTCTGCAACTATAAGTCATTCGGCAGTTATTTATGGCTCAGGACCTCAGTTGCATTAGATTAGATGAACACAGAGTTTATGATCTCATGTTCAGCTCATTCTCTGGCAAATGCATCCTGGATGCAGGGATCTAGTAAAAACCACCATTTTTCCGGCAGCAGACAAATGTCAGCCTAATCTGAAGAATGACAAAGTTACATAAACACACATAGATATAGTGCTGCATCTATCATTCACCCTCAATGTGATTAAGATTAACCACATAAATACCTTTCTGTTAGGTGTGAGCACTTTGAATATATTTTTAGCAGCATTTTCCACTCAATAAATCAAAAGTGACTGCTGATGACGAGGAGACAGAGCTGAGACACACGAAGAAGGCATGCGCAACCCCATATTTGAGCATCACTTCAGTTATTCTTATTCTTTTCTCCAGTTTCTCCCTTTTTCCCTGTGTCACAAAGGATTAATGGTAGTGTGAACCTCTTACCACTGCAGCTTACACTACATGAGGGCTAACAGCTATATAACTAATGGAGCTTAACTGTTTTTATCCAGAAGAAAGACCTGACGAGCGAAGAAGGAACTACAACTTTTTAAGCCTTTTTTTGTTCTTCTTGCAGATTACCAGAAAGTCTGTGAGAAAAGTGTCAGTTTTGTCTGTTTCTGTTTTCACTTCTGACATGAAATTTCCATGAAACTGAAGAGAGTTTGTTCCGCAGTGTCTTCCATAGAAGCTGATGTATTTACCTTTTCTGTGCTTACAGATTGTGACGTGTGAAAGCAGATTTTTAGACGTGCGATAAGCAGAAAAGAGAGATGCTGTACCATATTTAATGATCTTAAAGCTTAGGTTTTATATCTATATATGAGCCATCATATCTGCTACAGTACAGTAATAAGATGCAGTGTTATTGCAGTATATGCCTGAATCTATATATTTTTTAAGGAGTATTGTCATTTTTTTGTGAGGGATGTTCGGGTTTAGATGTATTTCAGTACTTTTCTCTTCAGTTTTGGCTTCTTTCTGTGTTCCTGTGCACTCCTGACAGCTGCACAGGAACACAACTGTGGAAATGGCAACTCAGTTTAAACATAAATTGTGCTAGAGGTGTGAAAAACACAGGAAAATGTGTGAAACAGTGATGTTGAGTATTATTGAACATAGGCTATTATTTAAGATCTAAACTATATTTATTCACTCTAATGTCACATTGTTTTCACTGAGCTCTAAGCTTCATTATATTTCCTTATTTTCTTGATCTTACAGACTCGTTCAGACGTACGTCCTAAATTTTATGCAGTACTGTGGAAAAGTCTTGAGCCACATGTCATTTCTTTATAGGAAAATGGGAAATGGGTGCAGGGATGTCATGAAACATACACCGACATACACAGAAATATAGTTTATAAGGCAAAGAAAAAAGTTTGTAAAATTCTAGCAAGCCCAAAAGTGAATTTTTGGGTATGACCATTTTTACTCTTCAACACAGCCTGAATGCTCTTAGTCAGCTTTCTTGTAATTTCTTTGAGAAGTCTTCAGGAATAGTTCTCCAGGCTTCTTGAAGAACATTCAAAGCTCTTCTTTGGATGTTGGCTGTTTTTTATTTCATTCTCTGTAGGTATGATCCGTTATAGTAATAGCAGTAAGTCCAGGCTCTCGGTAGTCCAACCCATGACTGATGACCATAGGGTACTTTTCAGCGTTCATAATTCCATCAACTTTAACAAAATCCCCAACACCGTTCACTGAAATACAGCCCGAAACCATGACAGAGCCTTGCTGTGTTTTACAGATCGCTGTAGAAACTCCTGATGACCTGTTTCTGCTGATTTTCAGTCCAGTTCTTGTGTAATTTTGCATATCTCACCCTTTTCTGCCTGTTTGCCTTCCTTTAAAATGACTGTTCATCTGCTATTGAACTGCTACTTCTTCTTTTTGTCCTCTGCTTGTCCTCTTTCCTCTCATTTCTCAAAGACACACTGCACATCATGCTGAGGTATGTAGTTTTCAGGAAGTCGCCCTTTGGTAATCACCTTGTTTGTGCACAAATAGTATTTTAAGCCAGTCAAACTACCTTTGGCATTTTTTTTAGTTTCAATAAAATACATGAGAAAATAATTTTTTATGTTTTTGCAGCAGACTTCTAATAACAAAGTGCCTAAAGATACAATTTAATAATTGGTTCTTTGCTAATTTGTCTGGTGCGTATAGACATGACACTGGTTCATTGCTTGGGTTAGGTGCCTTTTTTATGCTTGTTTAATTTATAGGTCAGTGTTAAAAAACATTCCTCTGAATTTCTCATGATCCGGCGCAGGGAGTGGACTATTGCTCAAAACTGGTTTAAAAATACCAACAAGTCTGCCTCCTTAGAAGCTAAATCCAGATAATGGAGTGCTGACTTAAGACTTTTGCACAGTATTGTATGTAAACTGCTTTATTTTTATTTTTAAATGTCTTTGTCAGTTTAGATGTTCACTGAACACTGGCGTTCACTGCCACCTACCCAACAAATATCCCCTTAGTCTGATGACAGTGGCTCAGTGTTTGTGCTCACAGGTTTGTTGCACCATAATGAACACAACTGTTGTGTCAGAACTTAACTTTTATTTTCAGGTTACTGTTTCTGTATTTAAAAAAAATCACATTCTGCTATGACCTGAGGAAAATCCACAATGTTTCACATAATGTTCCTTTTTTTCAGGAGGAATAAATATGTAGATATCTGCATATTCTTATGGTCTGTCTTTTTCACACAGTGACTCAGACAGTAGATACACAGGATTATGAAATCGGTTTCTGTTCATAGAAGAAGAAAAAAACAGAAAAGAAAAGAAAACCACAGACGTACACATCAAGAGTCTGGACACAGCTTCTCATTTTTAGCTTTTTCTTTATTTTCATGACTATTTATATTGTAGATTCTGACTGAAGGCATCAAAACTATGAATGAACACATATGAAATTATGTAGTAAACAAAAAAAAGTGAAATAACTCAAAATATGTTTTACATTTTAGATTCTTCAAAGTAGCCACCCTTTGCCTTGATTACTGCTTTGCACACTCTTGGCCTTCTCTCGATGAGCTTCATGATGTAGTCAGCTGCAATGGTTTTCACTTCACAGGTGTGCCTTTTCAGGGTTTGTTTGTGGCATTTCTTGCCTTTAAATGGGGTTGGGACCATGTTGTGCAGGAATCAGGTTGGTACACAGCTGACAGGCTTATTTGACAACTGTTAGAATTCATATTAAGGCAAGAACCAATCAGCTACGTAAAGAGAAACGATAATCCACCATTACTTTAAGAACTGAAGGTCAGTCTGGAAACTTTGAAAGTCGCAAAATCCATTAAGCACTACGATGAAACTGGCTCTGACTGTGCAAATCAGGCCTTTATGGTCAAATAGCTGCTAAGAAAACATGACTAAGGAAAAGCAACAAGCAGAAGAAATTTGTTTCGGCCAAGAAACATAAGGAATGGACATTACACCAGCGGAAATCCAAGCTTTGTTCTGATGAGTCCAAATTTGAGCTCTTTGGTTCCACCTGCTGTGTCTTTTTGCGACGCAGAAAAGGTGAACGAATGGTCTCTACATGCATGGTTCCCACCGTGAGGAGGTGTGATGGTGTGGAGGAGCTTTGCTGGTGACACTGTTGGGCATTTATTCAAAACTGATGGCACACTGAACCAGCATGACTACCGCAAAATCCTGCCATCCCATCCGGTTTGTTTAGTTGGACCATCTTTTATTTTTCAACAGGACAGTGACCCCTACGGGCTGTGTAAGGGCTATTTGACCAAGAAGGAGAGTGATGGAGTGCTGCGCCAGATTGCCTGGCCTCCACAGTCACCTGACCTAAACCCAATCAAGGTGGTTTGAGATGAGACGGCAAAAGGGCCAACAAGTGCTCAGCATCTCTGGGAACTCTTCAACACTGTTGGAAAACCATTTCAGGTGACTACCCGATGAAGCTCATCGAGAGAATGCCAAGAGTGTGCAAAGCAGTAATCAAAGTAAAGGGTGGCTACTTTGAAGAATCTAAAATATACAAAATGTTTTGAGTTATTTCACACTGTTTTGTGTACTGCATAATTCCATATGTGTTCATTCATAGTTTTGATGTCTTCAGTGAGAATCTACAAGGTAAATAGTCATGAAAATGAAGAAAAAACAGAAAGTCCAAGCTTACTGGTAGTGTAGAGCAGGAAATGCTGATTGAAAAAAAGCCACAGAGGGGGAAACAAAAAAACGTAACTAAACATATGCAGTAGATATTGGCGTATATTTACATGGTTTGTTGGTCTGTCTTTTCCACATGGTGACTCAGACAGTAGATACAAGATGTTGAAATCAGTTTCTGGTCACAGAAGAGAAAAAAACAGAAAACCACAGACGTACATTAGAGCGGGAATTGTTTTTGTTTTTTTTCTTTAAAGCCACAAAGGGGAAACAAATAAAAATTACAAAATTCAGATAAAGAAAGGTAGTGAAACACTGAAGTTTAAAGAAAGGGAAGTGAAACTTTAAAAAAGAAACCGGTCTGTCATCAAGAAAGAGAAGATAAAAACTGAGAGGTTTATAATGCAAGTTAGGAATTAAGAGAAACCATGCATCATTACATGAAAGTGACACCGAGACCGTGGGGAAAAAGAGGGCGTCGAACGCAGAATCATCTTTGTTATTCTTTGGTATTTGAGTGCTTTACCTGCTCGACCCGTTTCATACCCTGTCAGGCTGCTTCGCCCATGACAATAATAGAGCGACAGGTCTCTGTCACGCCAACACCTGCGGATGACAGATCGCAAATACGACATCATTTACTCTTTAAATACATAAGCAGGGTCTGGCAGCTTCACACAGCACCTCTACCTGGCAAAGAAAAGTGTAAAGGGGGAGAAAAAAGTAGAAGAAAAGATGACTGGAGTGAATTTTTAAAGAGGTTTGAAAGCCTAAAGTGTGAGAGAAAAAAAATTTATAGCGTGAGCTTATTTTCACCAGATAAATTAGAGTGAACTAGTTTGAAAAGTTCGGCTCCAAAAACACGTTTCTTTTTTTGTTCTTCTGTATATGTATACGTGTGTGTGAGAGAGAGCATGGACACGTGAGTTGCTAAGAAAGCAGAGCTCTGCTGTGGGTGTGTGTAAGATTGTCTTGTTGTCACACTCCCTCTCAGGTTGGTTGTAAACCCTGTTGAACCTGTTACCGCCCGAATACCTGTAACACTGTTTTTCCTGAAACAGTAGGCAGTTCTGACTGACTTCTAACAAGGATTTAAGCAGAGCTACATTTTACCTTTGGCGTATTATTCTGTTGCTCACCTTTGGACTATAAACAGACTTTCCTTATCCTCGAATGACTTGGACTTTAACCTGATATTTCCTGTTTATGCTCAAATACTGGACTTGCAACCATCATCACTGCAAGGAAAAAGAAGGTGACTGCATCGCTATGAACCCGCTTCTTTAATTCACTTAAGAGACAGATTGTCCTTCAGGCCTGACGGGATCCGCATTACTTCTCGTGGGTCTGTTTAAAATTGGAACCTCGATGTGCAAAAGCTCTGACTGTTTACATCTGATTGAGCGGAGGCAGCTCTCGTAGCTGCATATTTGGACAAGATGATGGAAGAGGTGTCCATGGTCAATGCTTACGATGCCCATGCAATCGAGCAGATGAGCGAGGAGGAGATTTTTGCCTGTCTAGAGTCTGAAACGGGACCTAAATTCACAGTAAGTTTCTTTTTCTTTCAGTTTGTACACTTAGTGACAACAGCTGAGCTATTTTTCTTCATAATTCAGCAGTGAAGTAGTAGAACATGAGTCTACATTTACTCAAGTACTGTCCTTAAGCAGATTTGTACTGCCTGTGTGTATTTCAATTTTTAGATGTCTACATTTTAGAAGAAATATTACACATTTGGCTGATCTATCCAACAAGGCACTACTTTTATCCTCTACAGCAACAAAATTCTTCTTACTCGTTAATGCATATTAACAACCTATTAATATAAATGATTATGTTAGTAGATTGTAACACTCACACACTCATTTCAAGTTGCAGATTATCCTTATTCGAATGTTGATTAGGAGCAAAGCATTAAATGGGTGTAGTGCTGCTCTTAGCTTGCCTCTACGGGCCTGTTTGGATTTGATCTTTACAATATTTCTACATCTATTACACGAGCAACTGGCTAAACGGTAGCTGCAAGTACAATCACAACACATAAAACATTCCTTTGGATGTTTTATGGATGGATTTTAATTTCAGAAAAAAAAGGGAATGATTTCTGGTTGTTCATTTTAGATATCTGAGATATGGAAATTGCCATTTCAGACTTCCCTCTACTATTATTCCCTCAGGCATTCTAATTTGATCATTTCCCCATGTGCTTATTTTATCTTATCTTGGTGCTATCTCCTTCTGGATCTCTTTCTTGGGCTCGTTCTTGATTTGTCATGCTCATCCCTCATCCGGCACAATATCTGTGTGGAGGAGATAGCTTTCTTCAGCTCACTCAAATATGACAGTTTTTCTGCGTTGTTATATTTAGTGCATTTTGACTCTCTGCCATTAGGTACCAACAAAGAAAGCTAAACTGAAGGAGTGCCGGCTTCAAATAATGGATGACGAGGAAGACACTTTGGACAAATATGTGGTGGGGGATCTTTGTCTCTAAAGTCAGTCCTAACATTCTTCTTTTGCTGTGATAAGTGCTCGGATCAGGTTCAAGTTATTTTCTTATTCTTTATCTAAAATGTCTTTTTTTTTTAAATGCTGAGACTTTGATAGATTGTTTCTGTGGTTTGCAGAAGGAAAACCGTCAGCTTCAGCAGGCCAGCCTTCGTCTGGAGCAGGAAAATGACAATCTGGCCCACAAATTGATCACCAGCAAGGTGGCCCTGAGGAACACTCTAGACAAGGTACAATTAATTACTGCCCTTTTCAAAAGGGTAGCGAAACCCCACAGGAAATGAATAAAGTGTAACCGTAATAGAATAATATATTTGGCGTTCATTTTACATTTCATTAGAATAGCACAGTGATTTTTTCTTATTGTATTATTATTAACTTCTGGTATTGTGCATGGCCCTGCAGTTATATGCTACATCGATATAAAAGTTTCATTCACAATGAAAGCATAATATCCTGAGCTGACTGCTGCGATTGTCTCTTTGCAGGTGGAGGACAGAGTGGACGAACTAACCAAAGACCTTATGGAAACTAGACAGCAACTGCAGATCACAGAAGAGGAGAAAAGAGGGAAAGAGGAGGAAGCTGCCATGGTGAGATTTAAGTTATTCATGCTTCCTCATAATCATTAGAGATTTTGGTATTTAACTGCAGGCATAACTGAGCGAAGGAATGTTATCTTTCATTATAGCTGAAGGAAGTGTTTCGGAGAGAAATAGAAAAGGCCGAGCAGAAACTCAAAAGGTCGTCTGGTATCATTGCAGACTACAAACAGGTACAGAGAGTTTCTAAAATCGCTACATTTCTTCTGCTGATGTTTTGCTTAATTATGTTAAAGTCGTGATCTTTGGCTCAGATCTGTTCTCAGCTGACAAACCGCCTTGAAAGCCAGCAAGCCGCCCACAGAGAGGAGATGGATTCACTTAAGGTGAGGGTAGCACTCTTCCTTTGGAGCTTTGCTGTCATCTCTTCTTCTTTTATCTCACCTCTTGCCTCCGCCATGCTTCATCTCAAATCCTGTTGTTGTATAAAATGCTTTCAACCTTTCTATTAACTCATCAGTTACTCAGATTATCTATTACATATGTCACGTTTGAGAGAAAAAAAAAATCTGTATCATTTAATTTTTGCTACACTTTTTTTTTCACATCACAGAGTGCAATAAAAGCTTGCTCCCACTGTCAACACATCATGAATTCAGATGAAACGTCCGATATAGGTCGGGACTCAGAAACGGCTGCGCAGACGGAAGATCAGAAAGTGACTGAACAGGGCGTGGAGGAGAAGGATGAAGATCCCACGCTGGAGGAGCAGAGGAGGAGGGAGCAGGAAAAGGAGCTCCTCAGGGCTCAGATTGGGGAATTGGAAAAGGAGCTGGTCCAGACCAAACTCCAGATGGTGGAGGCCACATGCAAAATCCAGGTAAGACCAGTGAATCAGACCGGACTGGACCATTCATAGATACATATCTTGATTAAATCTCTGACCTTCACAAATATCTACAAGCATGTAACCAAAACATGCACAAATTGTCAGTGTTTTGCAGATAAGAGGATATCTGGATATATGTCAGCCAATAAATGGCAACAAAATGCAGCAAAGAAATGTTTTTGTCATAACATGGGTTAGTAGTAGTTTTACACTATAAAATATCTCTCAGTTTGCTTCTTGGTCACAGTTAAGAAAAATCAAGGAAGATCTGGATAAATATTGGTTGCCACCCATCCAGCTGTCCATCCATTTATTTTCTTCCGCTTATCCAGAATTGGGGTGAAGTGCTAGCAGGCTAAATAGGGTTTTTCTTTTTTCCCATTTCCTGCTTGGGGATACTGAGCCAGTTACAAATATGATGAGATTCATAATCCTTCCACCATGTTCTGGGGTGTCTCCCTGGATAGATGGATAGACGTGGCCGGAAAACCTGATGGGAAAGTGCCCAGAAGGCATCCTAATTAGCTGCTCAAACGACCTCAACTGGTTTTTTGAGCATAGGGTGGAGAGAGATCAGTGGCATTCAATAAAAAAAAAAAAGATTATTTTATTTTAAAGTGGTCATTAGCATGACTGTGAGCTCTGCTACTCTAGTGCTGCATTAAATCTGGCTTTTTATAGGGAATATGTTGACACCTGACCTCTAATAAAGCTGATATGATATTTTTACTAAGCATAAGCCCCTGAAGACAGACAACAGGACCAGGTTCTGAGATATTGTCGCTGTTCCAGTAAAACAGGTTTGACAACACTGGAAACTGAAAGTTACAAAGGAACATTTTCAGGAAGAAGTAACAGAAAACAGAGACTTCAAAAGCTGACGGGAATTACCCCGGATCATTTTTGAAGTCATTTGCTTCATAAATAACACAGAAATAACATAATGGGATAATCCTTCAAGATTCATTACTTATTACTTTATTACTTTTAAGTATTAAAGTACTCTAATTACATATCTGGCATGCTTAAAATAGGCATATAAATAAATTGCATTACTTCCACAATACATTATCATAATTCTACCATATTTAATACGTGTGTTTTTGTGAGCTTTTGAGATTTCTAAATCATCTGTGCAACTTTTTTTCCTGAAAAATGTAACTAAATTGTGCAAAAAAAATGCTTAATGTAGCAAATATGATGCAAATTCAAACTCGCATGTATAAACTTTGGTCAGAAGGTTCGGTAAACACTGCAGTTCCAAAAAAATTTCATTTTCTGACAATTGTTTCATGGTTCAGGATTTACAGGGTTGAAGTAATTCATAATGGTGTCCAGTTAGTGAATTGTTTAAAACTAATCATTACAGTTAAATTCAGGTATAACTCTGACCCATAATAGATTAAAAATTTGAGTGTTAATTTGCCAATAATCATATGAATTGGCATTGTTATTTAAAACTATTAAAAGTATTTTGATAATGTAAATAAAAAAAACATAAGTGCATATTTAGTAAAAACATAGTAAAATTAATTGCACAATGCAGTATTTGCAGTCATACATCTGTGTATCCTCATGCAGGAGCTGGAGCACCAGAAGGGAATCTTGACCAGTGATCTGCAGGAAGCAAAGAACAGCTGGATCAGCAAGGCCTTCACCTCGCTGCGGACCTCCAGCGAGGGGCTTCACAGTCTTAACATACACAAAGCCGGGACTCACACAATGGGTTGGAACGTCCACAGTGCCTCCCTCTCTGGATGGAGCCCCAAGAAGCTATCGTGGCCTCACAGAGTCAATCGAGAAAATGTTTGAGAGCTTGGACTGTGAATGCGCAGTTGACATAAAACTGGACACTAGAGGGGGGTTATACCTCTGCTGAAGTATGACTTTATTGCCTGAGTGATAACCAAAGACTGTATATACAGAATGATTTAAACCTGTACCTGCTGATTCCTAATTTGTGCACTAGATGGCAGTCAAGACACCATGAGCTGAGGAGAGTACCAGAGAGCACTGACAGTTGATATGAAGTAGGGACTTTCTTGGCTTTGCTGATTTTGTCTTTACTGATAAGTTTCTTTGCATATTTGTAAATCTGTGTGAGTCTCCTGGAGACCAGTATTTTCGTTTGTGCCATAAATGCACCATTAAAGAAGTAACCACTTCAAAAAAAATTCTCTTTCATGACGTAAGGAAACCTTAATCAGCATGCAGTAATTCATAACTGTTCAGTTCTTATAAGGAATTTCCTGTGCTGTGACTTCTCTTCCTCTTTCGCAATGACCTCTTTGGCTTTTATACCGCGATCAGCTGCGAGGCGCTCAAATACACAGGGGAGGCGAGACTGTGAAGCAACTTGTTATTGCTGTACTTTGACACAAAGACAGGTGTAGATCTGCAAGGAAAAGGGCAAAGGACAAGGGAATAACAGAAGAGAGTAGTATTTAACTTGGGCCCGGGGTTGGGAGTTGACTGTAACATTTCTAAAACTACTTTGAAAAACTGCTCTTGGCGAATAATCCCTCCTTTGAAGCAATGAGGGCTGCAGTGTTTGGTGGTGGCTATGTCACTGTGATTCTACTAATTAGCATTGTTGAAAGTCAAGCACTGGACCTGCTGAGAGGAGCTGGAACATCACAGAGTGAGTGCTAGTCTGTGCTTGACTACATGTTTCCCACTTCCACTTATTCTTTCTTTCTTTCATGTTATGTTATAATATTATTCTCAAAGTGATACCGATACAGATATTAAATTTTGTATTTTTCTTTATTCTGTATTTCTGTCAGTGTTTATGTTTTGCACTCAGTGACTAAATCCAGTTTTTCCCTGCCAGATCCCCTCTCCGCTCCCAAGGTGCACTGCTGGTGTTCGAGCTATCCGAATGCGACGCTGTGCACCTGGCCTAAACCACCCCACTTCCCTACCACGCATTACATTGCTACATACAGGTAAGTCTGTGAATAGTTTTAGTGGGTGCTGACCCAAACCACTGACCCCTTTTTAGTAGAAGACACTCTACTTAACAAGTGTCATTAAATAGCCTTTTTTTTTTCTTAAATGTGTTTATGTGTAAATGTTTGTGTTTACCAGTGAGAGACATAATCAGGCAAGCACCAAGGAATGCCATCTCCTTCCACCCGGCTCTTCATCCTCTGAAAAGGTACCAGTTTATAACCTTAAGAGATCATCTGATATTGGCTGTGCATCTAGGAATTTTTGGATATATTCTTGTCTGTTATGAGCAAAAATCCCTGGATCCTGAGACTGAAATCATGCATCATGCATAGTGTGGAGGGAATTTTCAGTCATGGGGTGACGTTAACCCTTAGGTTTGCGAACAGCCAAGAGAAAGGAGAAGAGGTGGTTTCCAGAATTCATGCAACAAAATTTAACTCATTTAGATAAGTTGTACTATATATATATGTGTGTGTGTACACATATATATATGTACACACACACACACATACTGTACTGGAATGATCCACAAACCTGACGGGACAGGCTGAGTTTTGGAAAATCCCATTTCTTTTCTTTTCTTTTCTTTTTTGGAATCATTTCAAGTTTATCTTGTGAGTCTGAGGAAACCAGGGTCTCAGTAATTTGTGATCTGTGGTTGATTACTAATTCTGATCATCTCGAGTGCTCGTCATTTTGTGAATTCCCCAAAGTTTTCTTTCATCGTCTCTCTCTTTTTCTGTTTTTTTTTCTTTTTTTTTTCAGTTCTGGATCTGCCAGCTGCCCAACCTGAAGCTTCTTACTGACTACATCATCAACATCACAGCAGTTCATTCTGGGAGAAGCAGCTCCCATCTAACAAGCTTCATGCTGGAGGATATAGGTGAGAAATGAAATTACACAGAATGTGGTCAAACTTCACTTAGCTTCATAACCCAATTCCCGTTTTTATCTAAACAAACAAACAAAAAAACAATTAAAAAAAAATCTGTTCTATGTGTTCAGTGAAACCAGATCCTCCCGTTGATGTCCGGGTTTCCCCTACTAACAACAGAAAGTTGTTGGTTGAGTGGTCTCCTCCACCTACTTGGACCAACTTGGCAATATTCCCCCTAAAATACCAGATTATCTACCAGTGGGAAAACAAGGGGATCCGAAGGTCTGTTAATGTAAGTATGATTTTCATCACACCATATTTGCATAAAAGTGTTGCAACCACAAGTTTTGTAAGCAGCACATCACACTTAACGCTTACACGGATATCACATGTGCAAGTTCAAAATTACCCAAGCTTTTTTGAAGCAACCTCGAATTGCTTTTCTTTGTACTTGTTGTTTTCCTAAAAAAGTTCCCATCGTCTACAGGATCCAGTTTTTCATTTAATCATTTAATCATCAGTAGCTTTTCTGTTTCCTTTTAAATATTACAACACTCATTAACTTGACTTCAAGTGTTCAAAATTGTGTGAAAATATTTTCTCATAAACTGTTTTTAAGATGTTGGTCATGATTTACTGAAATTTAAAAAAAAATGTGCATCAGCACATGCTGTAACTGATTTGAAAGTATGACTAATGATGGCAAACACATTTGCATTATTACTAAACTCTTCCATCCACTTTCATGAAACGGTTTATGATTCATCAACTATTTATAAGTCCTTTACTTCTATTTTAATATGTGACTTAAAGTAACCAGTATCTTTTCCCACTGGGCTGACTTGTAGCCTCCTGATGTTAACTATGTGTTTTTTTACACATGTATCCTATATTTTCTCCTCCAGCTGGGTCCTTATGAGAACACCACAGTTGAACTGAAGGCCCTGACCCCAGGGAGGCCATACCTGTTCCAAGTGTGTGCTAGGGAGCTGCTTGGTCTGGGCAAATGCAGTGACTGGAGTATGCCCGTGAAGATCACAATACCAAGAAAAAGACTGTAGGAAGTTCCACTGACTTCCTTTTTTTGTTTACCCATTTCCTGTTAAGCTTGCACTGAAGTAAACAATTTCATTTTCTGGTATTTTAACTGCACGAAAAATGCAAACACAAACTATTTATATTTTGTTTTATTTATTAAAGAGTATTGTAAATGGATATCATGCACACAGTTTACATTTCCAGTTTAAGTCAGTATTTTTTTTATTATTGTTATTTTGTAACAGTGTTGGTTTGTCAAGTCAAAAAGAATAAAAATAAGGTGTCTGAAGCAAATTCTCATTGTCAGTCAGTCACATTTACCACAAGTGGGGTGACAAACTCAGAGTGTCTGATGCCCAGAGTGAAGGATGGTGGTCTTGGAAGGTGCAAATGAAATCTCTCCGGGCTGTAGGCGCCAGGGCCAGGAATAGCAGAGGAATAATTGGGCCTTTTAGTCCTCCCCTGCATGGTGAAGGACGGATGGCGATGACGGTAAATGTCCGGGTTGGTGCTGTTGTATTTTCCTGGTCCGGGAGTTGTGGCGAGATCTTCAGAGGGAGCGCCGACCTTCCTCCGGGCTGAGAAACTGTAGCTGGCACTGGAGGGTTTGTGAGGAATATGATGTCCCAGAAGATTAGGAAGACTGTAACTGGAAGATTGACGAAAACAATATAAAGGTTAACAGGAGCACTGAGTGTGATGTAAGATGGTAAATCTGGTGTTATTCTCTGTTTGATTTCTAAATTCCTCATGCTGTCTTGGGCACCTACTCCCAAGCCCATTCTTCTTTCCTAAAAAACAAAGGAAACCATATTTATCAAAGACTGTGAACTTAGTAGGAAATGGCTGAGGTGGATATAGCAGGCTACCCCCTCTAAATTTAGGAGACAAAGGAGCTCAATCAGACGCTATTAAGCAACAACCTCTGAGGCTGGGAATGATATTCAAAGCAGAAGTGCTTAAAAAGTTGAGGTTCCTCAAATAGCCACTTAACCCTTACTCCGTATTAGAGGCAATCTTCCATCTTGTACTGTCGAACTTTAGAGCAGAAATAAATATATTTAGAGCCTAGTAACAGTGGCTGCAGGTTTTAATACTCAAGAATGCTCAAGAAATCTGGGCACAATTTTAGATGAATTAAAGCCTAGATTAACACTAAACGCTAACTTGAACAGCGTTTATGGATACTAGAAGGCTTAAGCAAAGGGATCCACAAGCCAAAGGGTGATGTCACAGCACTTTCATTGACCTCTAATCTACCTCTCCTCCTCGCCTTTACCTGTTAGGTGAGGGTACAGCATCCACAGAGCGGTATCTGGTTCGAGCTCCAATGATGTGTGATGGAGGTCTGCGGTGGCCATTGAGGGGCGGAGCCTTCTCTGGACTGTAGGCTCCGGGCCCGGGAGTCTGGAATAGGTCACCTAACATAAAAGGAAACTAGTTTGAAATTATTCCTTTATTTTAGGGGGAAGATGGATGAATGTGTGGATGGACTGATAAATGGATGGATGACTAATGCTTGTCCAAATATCTGACATCAATCACACAGGTTGAATGGTTTTTCCTTCTTTTTTACCTTTACTTCCTGTGCGCCCTCCTCTGCCCAAAATAGAGTAAGATGGCGTTTCCATGCTGCCAAACCGCGTGACCTTTGATCCAACGTGGTACCTCGGTCCTGGGCTGGAATCCACAGAGACCACTGCAAACAAGGCCAAAAACCATCAAAGTGCTATTCCTTTACTTTAACTGCTCCAGCTTAGCATTAAGTACTTCTTTGTAGCACTCCTTAGTCAACGATTGGTCCACTGAGGGCAAGTTTACCAGAACATACATAAATAATTGACAACTTACTGGCACTGCTCATACGACTGTGGAAGGTATATGCTGCACTTCTGGGCTTGGTGAAATCATGGTTGATGTATCCAACTGTAGGGGGCAGGCTGTAGCGTCCAGGGCCTGGGCCTGACAATGAGTAGGTGGAGGAGGAGGAGGATGGTGGTGAAAATGATGCAACAGATTGCACTCCAAGCAGCAGTATAGCACACCCACCGCTCTTTGGCTCCGGCTGCATCGTCTCTGATGATTTCCATATGGAGCTCTTTGACTTATTTTCTATGGTTATGCATTTTAACCTACTTCCTCTGCTTTTTGGGGAATGGATTCTAAACAAAGTAGAAATCTCAAACAAGTGTGGAGCAACGACTGTATAATGCTGTGCAAGATTTCATAGCAAAAACAGTTCAGCTATAATACAGTCCATGTGGATGCAAACACACACACACACACACACATACATAACCACACATGCAGGCATACACATTTCTCAAACTGACCTCTTTCTCGAGCAGAGATAATCGGCCGTTTCTTCTCCGCCTCCTCCATAGTCTACCGACCACTTTCTTCCCTCTCCTCGGCTTTTCTTTTTTGAGTCCACTGTTACTTCAGACACATCCTTTTCTTACTCCTTTTCTTGTGTGGCTCTGTCCAGGTAAGTCTCGCAGGCTGAATTATTCATTATCATGAGGTAAAGAAATCCTATCTTGACTGAGGCCCTGATCTGCACAAACTTGTTGTCAACCTTTTTTTCTCCAAGGTTCCTCAGGACAAATAGTTTCTACCAAATAGACACTTAAAGAGCTCAAATAATTGTTTAGCATGTAAATCTAAATGTGAAGTGCTCTGCTGAAACACGATCTTGAAGTGATGTATAATGATCATGTTGGTAACGTGTAATGTAGTTAATTTGTAACACTATTCCAAAGTATTTGGTTACTGTACTGCAGTATTTGTCTTCACTCATGTATGTATGCTCAAGTGACAGCGTCTCAGTGGACATGCTATTAAAGCGAAGGACCTTGAACATTCCTCTGCAGCATATTGATATCTGAACATTAAACACTAAGTTCTTTATTGAACTTGTAAGGATATTCATGTGAGTACAAATGCTTGCAAATTTTATGTCTGCACTTTTAAACAGGGGGTTCTTCTTATTGACGGGTGGACACAATTTTATTTGAAAAGCCTTACAGGCCCTCTGCAGTATTTACGTATATATTTAACAGCAAAAAAATGTGGGACTGACCAAAAACATTGTTCAGATTCAGATCATTCAGATTTCTTGATGTAATTTTTATTAGTACAATAAATTTCACAACGAATTAGGAATTTTTATCAGCAAAAGGTTAGAGGACCTTTTCTGATTCCCGTTTTCTGCTGCTGTTTTTGTCCTTAAAGTCCATTTTCCCCGATTATTTATGCACTTTAAACTAAGAGTTTTAGTTTTTCTGTCATCGTCCCAGGTTCTAGTGTTGCATTTGTTGAGTTTTCGGTTCCTGTTTTGATTTTGTGATTAATTCGGGTGTTTCTAATATTCTTTTTTTCTGATTTCCCTAAAGTTTCCCTGGCTTGTGTCCATATGTCTTGTACATTAGTGCCATTGTCCTTCTGTGTTTACCTGTCTTTTTGTTATTTCATCTATTCATCCATGAATAATGGAGCCCATCCCAGCTGTTACAGTGCCCTGAACAGGCTGTCAGTCGATCACAGGATTTTTTGCCCAAAAAGCACAAACAAAAACAATGGCATTAAGACTTAAAGTGTCACTGCATGAGTGGCTTCTTGTTTCAGCTTATCTCTTAATCTGGTTCCTGTCTTACTTTGATAAATCACATTCTCATGCGTCCTGATTTTATTTTATTGCTTTTGTTCCCTTCCTTGGTGTTTGTCAGCCCCTCCATCATGGCAGATTGTGCCTACATGTGTCCTGTCTGTTGTGCTCGCTTGCTCATGCCCTTTGAATTTGCCTGATGATTTGGATCCCAAAAAGTCTTGCCTTGTGTCCAGTATTTGGTCCTCAGTACTGTGCAAGGAGAACCACAGCACATCAGTATGTTAATATTTATATTGAACTTATAAAAGGTTGTGTCAGTGCACATGAGAACAATGGATTTACAGCCACAATTCCCATATCACTGCGGGCCACTGTGGCTACTGAATTAGCACCTAGACACCATCTGAAAAGAGTCAGCTGCGGCAGAAGTTCAGAGTAGGATTTAGCATCTGGCATACACATATAGAGCTCCCCATTGCTGACATTCAGGACCCTGGACACTGGATGCAGAGGTAACTAAAGGCTTGAGAGCAGAGCTATGACCAAGAAGAACTCCATAGTTAAATATTAAGCACTGCTGACTGACTGCTCACAGGCACAGTAACAAGATACTGCTTGTCAGACGAAGATGAATTCACAGCATGACAGAAAACACAACCAGCGTCTCAAGTTTCCCAGATAAACACTGACACCATGTAACAAGCAGGGATCAAAGATGTTACTCGCTGTCGAGCTCTAACGTGGATTCATTGATTCGATGGAGACATAAGCTTGTTATTGCTTGCTCTGCACTCTTTCACATGTGCTATTTGTAGATTATACAGCCAAGAATCAAAGGAAAAACAATAAGATGTAGTAAGAGACAGGTCCACTACATGCGTAGCACTTTTTGTTTTTACTCTCAATCATTGACTGCCATGCTCCATGTACGCCACACCTGTTTCTGCTTGTGAACATTTTTATTTTGTACACCTAGTCATTCTAACTCATTTAAGGTGTCTTTCTTTTGTGCTGCTCGACATACTTCATCATCATTCTTGAACACTTGGCGTTTACAGCCCAGCGTGGTTGATGCACATGTTTAATATGTGAAAAACCTTTATTTGTAATCTTTTTATACATGTACAGTGGTCCCTCGCTATAACGCGGTTTACCTTTCGCGGATTTTTTTGGTGCGATTTTGCGTGCTATTTTTTTTTTTTCTTACAGCGCATTGAGTTCTGCGTCCTGATTGGCTGTAGATCATTGTCAGTCAGTCTCGTGCTGTGTCTCCTGTACAGTACAGAATGCGTTCAGCTTGTCAAGTTAACATAAATCTTCTATGCTAGCTGTGTGACTCTGAAGTGCTGTACTGTATGTTTGCAAGTTTTCTCCCCAACAAACACAACAATTTTGACGAAACGTTTTGCACCGTCAAAGGCAACCGCGGGCGCTTTTGGTTTCATTCTATAATACTGGACTTATTTTTCTACGAATGTTTTATCATTGAGAGTTTAAATAAGAGAGAAAAGTGTAAAAATGTTCGTGCCTGTCTGAGAAAAGTGTATAAAGTGTGTAGTGAGGGGTTTTACAGCCTTAAAACATCTATAATAATTGTAAAAAATAATAATAATAATAATAAAGTTGGCTACTTTCACCTATCGCGGGTTATTTTTGGAACGTATAATTCCCGCGATAAACAAGGGACCAGTATGCCCACTTTTAATTTATTTTTAATTAATTAAACACCTTTAATGGTTTTTTTTCAGTCTGGTTTTGTTCTTACTTGCACCAGATTATATATTTTTTATATATTTTTTTTAATTGTGATTTTCTTTGTATAACTTTCCTAATACAATCCACCCATCCATTTTCTATCTAGGCCTGTGGGGGCTGGAGCCTATACCAGCAGGGCAGGAGGCAGGGTACACTCTGAATAGGTTGCAGGTTTGTAAAAGAGCACATAGAGAAAGTCCCACATTTATGCACTGCAGTGCATAAATTTAGACTCACCACTTCTAAAATGTATGTCTTTTGGACTCTGGGAGAAAGCTGAGACTAAACTGGAGAGCAGCCATACAGGCACTAGGAGAGCATGCAAAAACAGACAAGGGCCCGAGCTAGCTAGTGGATTAGAAACTAGGACCTTCGCACAAGGCAAAGATGACACTGAGCCGCTCTTGGCTAATATTTTGTATTCCCGTCAGTCCATCTGCCTCCGCTTTAAAGTACTTTGGGTCAGCTCCATTTTCACCTCTTATGCACTGTGGAGTCAACATGATATGTTATTAAGAATCCATATGATGTCTATTGCTTTGTTTTGTTTTTTATCCACTTAAATTTCCATTTGCATTTTGGTCATCTGATAAGGTGCAGAGTTGTGTTTTTCAGTGCTTGGCGACTCAGACAACTATTTTCCAAACCCTGGGTTTCTGACATCATTTTATAGAACAGCATCAGAGTGATAACAACTTCAGTCATTGTACAGTCTTTACTAACTAAACATAATTTAAGAATTAAAACATAGCTTTATACTTTAAATATGCTGGTACAATTTAGTACAAAAATAAAAGGCAGAGAAATGCTTCCGTACACAAACACCATCACGTCATCAGTCACTTACTGACACTCAGAAACAGAAGAATCCTGAGTGAACCAGTTTGGTATAGTATCCAGCTATATAACAAAGAAGAAATTAGAAATACTGTATGATAATTTACTTTTGCCTTTTACATGGGGGCCACGGTGAAGGCTGAGGTGGGAGTATCCATTGAAGCTGAACCGCCACTAGATGGTGCTTTGGATCCACAGGGGAAAAAAAGAAGTCCAAAATGTAACTGATCTGTTTGCCTTTTTGCACACAAATACAAAAGTCTTTACTATAATCCAGGTTATTCATGCAAATGTGTCATTTTTGAAAGAAGAAGGTAGTCCAAATGGTGCCTCTTGTGATACCAGCATGTCTGTGATGAGTTCACCTTCCTTGCGTTGACTCAAAAAGTTACATAAAGGAAGAATATCCCACTTTTTCTTCGGATGTCCTCTTGTGGCCACAGCTGGTAGCCGTACAAAAAATGTCCGGAGCAAACTGTCTTTATAATTCTGATATATGAATACACTCTCTTTATCTCATATACACACATAATAACGAATCACATTCACTCAGTTCTTTTCTTGATTTGTTTTCTGCTCGTAAAGACAGCGTGTGCTATGATTTATCCCCTTGGAGAACCTGCAAAAAAAATCAGCGTTTATAAAACAGTTTTAGATTTCCATGTATTTGTGTTAGCAGCATGTGTACGCGTGCATGTTTGTGATTTGATTGGAATGATGATGCTTACCTACCTGGTTGCGAACTTTGTGGGATTTCTGCATCAGCACTCTCCATTGATCATACAACTTCATGGACATGCTGCTACAACCGTAGGCGTGTTTCCGCACCCAGCCGAAGAACTGCTTCAGCTCCCTGCGCAAGGTGGAGTTGGAGTCTCCGCTGGATTTTGAGTCGCAGGAGCCTGACATCATTCTCTCTGCAGGGAGGAGAAACCAGTAAAAAGGTATTAGGCATAGAAAAGGAGTGTGTGTGTGAATGAAGCTTGTAATAAGAAAGTGCTTTGAGTATTCAAATTGAGTCGAAAAGCCCTATATTAAGTACCAGTCCATTTACCATCTGACAAAACTTTAGTATAGAGTCTATACTATAAACTCTTATCAGGACATTGCACATTGGATAAAAACCCCTTGGATGTCAAGAGACACTTTACACTCATTGGATAGCAGTTCCTCAGTCACAGGGTTGGCTTGCCCTAAAGTAAGGGATTAAAGTGGGTGGGATTGATCTGGAACAGCATTCTGGCACTTTTAATAAATGAGTAATCAAATCTGAAGATTAGGCTGATACATAATGCCGAGGGAGTTAAATGTCTGTGTTGCAGTCTGGCATTGCTTTCAGCTGCCAGCGTGGACACGAGATCCCACACCCCACTTCACCCTCAAATCAGTTTTTAATTCCTGTGTTATGTTCACCTGAGGTGTCAATGTTGCGTCTGCGGTACTTTAGCATCTAGCTAGCACTGCAGAAGGGGAGCTAGCATAAAGATGTAACTTTTCAGTCAGCGCAGGTGTTTCTGTGCAGCATCTCATGCATGGTGTCTTGGACGCTTAATGTATTTCCCAAGGAGAGGAAGATAAGGACTTTTCAGCAAGTATTATACTTTTAATGTCCTAATTCATTCTTTTTTCATGATGTGAAATCTATTTCTAAACAAAATGAAGCAGGATTTTGTGTTATTCAACATTTGCATTAAAAATATTACGTTAAGAAATTCAGTACAGTTTAATAGAGGCTAAACTGGTTAGTTTTCATGCTATGAAGTTACAGTAACGCAGGGTCAGTGTTAAGTTACATGAAGGGCAGCAGATAACAATTTGAATTCAAGCCGATGATGCTGATGAGACTCATTCACCAAATTTTTACTTTTATACTGGCTTTATCCCGTCTAGACGTCAGAAATCAGCCATACAGTTTATTTAACATCTCCTTATATCAATTTGAATTCAACTGGATGCACCTGGATAAATCAAAAAAGCAGCAGTGATTCAACTTCTCAAGAAGATGACTTATTTAAAAGGGCTTAACTGAACCTCAAATGATCAAAACACATGCAGAAAACATCAAACATGGAAAGGTCATACTGTGCGTGCAGCAAAGTAAGGAGCTGCTGCTGATTCTGTTATTGTAGCTGTGGTGCTGGTATGGTAAATGGTAAATGGTTTGCACAGTTTGAATTTTGAGGTTATACACTAACAGTTAGTGACTAACTGTATATTCTGGGCTTATGCCATGCAAAACACCAAGGCAGAATTTTCACCTGGCTCAAATTTGGGGCTGAAAGTTTAAAGTAGTTATAATGGCAAAGGGAAATAAGCAAGTAATGCTCCAGTATGTTAAGAATCTGCAGAGCAGTACTCAAGCAAATGCAATTTTTCACTGTCAAAGACTTTTAAAAAAAGACAGATGAGTGACTGAAAAGACTTTGAGGAGAGAAGGGGAGACAGGATTAAACCCCCCTCCCTGATTTGTGCTTTTTCAGCTTGCCCTTGCAGAAACCCTTCCAGAAAATGGAAAAAAAAAAATCAAGGTTTTATGAACTGGGTTTTGTTTTCATAGTTGTGGTCTTTATTCCGATCAGTTATGATAACATTTTGCACAGCAGTTATGTCTGGGGAAGAAACAACCACAAGTGCTCACTACTTTGTGAACATGAGTAATGTTTTTTGAATTTTTTGTTGGTTCTGAAATTGTTTATTTTACAACCTATTGCAAGTAAAACATTATCAAAGTCTGGTTTGATTTTGTAATGTCAGGTTGGGCAAAGATTGCATTATGTTACATTGATGGTTAGGTTATTATTTTTTATTGTCTTTGACTGGATTTGTCTAACATAAGTAAAACTGCCAGTGCTATAAAAAACAACCTGGAAGACTGACCAAGAAGTGTATAAAACAGTACCACTGAGACATTGAGGCTGCCAGTTTTCAACAGCAGGAGCGATCTGTGGGATATGCACCCTATGATGCCTTAAAATGCTCTTAAAAACCTCAATAATGGACAAAAAATGACTTCTGAGTGCCCTTCTGACTGTGTACGAGTGTGTGCTCACCACTGTGGGGTGTGGAAGCAGCAGTCGGGTGGCTCCACTCACTCCAGATGCCAGCCTTGCGAGAACCGTAAATGCCCACGGGATTACATCGAACCTGGAGAAAATACATCATTAGAAAGGCTGAAAGCTACTCTGAAGTACTTAATCATTACACATCGAGACATATCCAACGTACCTGGACGAAATATACCGTTCCAGGTCTCAGTCCAGCCAGTCTACAAGAGGTCTGATTCCCAACATCCTCCATCACCTACATGACAAATCAAAGACACAAACACAAAAGCGCTGAGCGCTGGAGGTCTGACCACAGTATTAAATACCAATGGGCAAAAACTAAAACACAGGACCAAATCAAGATGCAGAAAACACAACCGCAAACCATGTACAGACCCAAACATGCATGAACCTCACATTGTTTGGTGGCTGCTGATCAGCATGTTTATGAAACTATTTTAATGTAACCGTGCCTGCTGGGTAAAATCTGTTCTCTATTATTTATTACAGAGCTGGATATGCTGGGACACACACACAGCAGCGCTTACAGGTACTCATGCAAACAGCATAACTGAAGACAGGCAAATAGAGAAGAAGAAAGGCACACATGCTGCAATTAATAATCTTGTCTAATAATCCTCACTTTCTCTCTGGCATCAGTCTATAAACACTTGTTAAAAAGGACTCAAACAAAAAACAGAACATGGAAATTACTGGCATCAAAAGTCTAATGATGTGATGTGGGGGAGCCAAACAGGCAGAAGTTACAGCTGAGCGTCTTACAGACATATTGAAGACATTAACAGCTGAGATGTATCCCTCCATTCCTCAGCATGACCTCATGATTAGGGCTGGTTCAGAGGGAAATGGTGCTTTGTTTTCACCATCGACCCTTTAAAACCACTCTGTGTCGAGTCTCCAGCTCTCCTCCTTCAAAATCATATCATCCCTCCTCCGCCTTGCTCCACTCCCCGCCTTTTCTTTTTCCACTTTGCGAGTCAAGACTTGCTTATATTACATCGGTGTAATTCCCCCTTAATTACAGGAGAATCTTCACTCTTACCCAGAGGAAAATGATTTCTGGGAAGCACCATCTGCGCGTCTTAAGGTTTTACACTGTGTTTTTCATTCATTAAAGGCTCGTGCGGAGTTACACATACAGTGGCTTTGGGCTGTAGCTTCTAGATTTATGACTAATGAAAATTTTTGACCAGCCCAACTATTAACTCATCTGGCAGAGGAGGCCTCAATCAGGCTACATCAGAGGTGATTACAGCACAAGGATGAGAAACAGCTGGGACAGTGCTGCTGTTATACAGAAAGAGACAAAGAGAACAGATTTGCATCCTTATAGCTATGGATTCTTGTCCTCTACCTTCCAGTCTTGGCTGTCCTCCAGCCTGTAGCGGATTTGGTATTTGGCCTGAAACAGGAAGTCTTTGAGAGCAGGCGGGGCCTCCCAGCGAACGCTCAGCTGGTCCTCCAACTGCCCGACGCGACTGACGGTCACACCCGATGGAGGGTCTGTGGTCACTGGAGAAGGAGGAATGGCATCAGGACATTAAGCATCACATGCAGAACTGATAATGAAAAACATAGTGAATATATTTAGGTCCTGTAGTGCAGGTGGAAACTGCTTCAACATCTGCACACAAAACGTCTGATCAGTGGCATGCCACATGATGTTTATCCGTTACTTTGATAGTGGCAAACATACAGAAAGTGCAGGAAGACAGAAACAGAACGCGTGGATGTAATGGTTCCATCTTTTTATGTCTTAACCAACAGTTAATAGCTGTTCATGAGAGATTACCCGACTCATACATTTGATTCCCTGCTGTAAGCTGTTGCCTGTATTACTAATGTATGTGTTATAAAGAAATCAAGATAGGAAATAGTCTGCTCTGCGAGAGAGGCAAATACTGCCTTGAATTTTATCAAATAGCTCTAACAGATGCTGTGGCTGACTAGAGGTTGATTTGAACCACTAATCTGAATTAAAACATTAATGTCACAAGCATTTTTTCTAGTAAAACAAAGCGTATTACAACAACAAAACTCTTTGCTTAGGGCCTTTTCTCTACTTCCTTATGTTTACACGACCAAGCAATCCATTCAATTTCAATTTTAAGCAGTAGGAGTGATGTTTTTATGTGTAACAACACATTGAAAGATTGCTCAGTGTTGCCGGAGGTTTGAGGTCTCTAGGCGCCTTTTAGTTTTGCAGAGTTGACTTGTGTGAGCTGGAAGAGGCATGTTCATCTGACAACAATTATCTTTTCAGCAAACAAACATGTGGTGACTGAGCATTATATTAATTTTTCTCGTTTTGGGGCTTTTGAGATCATTTCAGTATCTACTTCAGCTCCTTTTTTTCAGAATGCCATCATTGAATAGCTAGTAAATAAACAAGCTGATCAGAGGGAAGAAGAAGAAGATGGGAAAGATTCAGTGCAGGAAAAAATGGGAGTTGACACAAGAGGCTTTTTTCTTGAGAGAGATTATACAGTAAACCTAAGAGTAAAATAAGATTACTAATACTTTATTGGACACACATAGGGCTCAATGCAATTATAGCCAATGACATCTGCAGATGGAAACATAGGTTTTGTTAAAGTACACTGTAAAAAATACTTCCTTTTGTACAGGAAACTTTACTGTTAAAGTCTACCTTCTGTACTCTGCAACAACAGTTTCTTACTGTATATAATATTTTTAAACCTGTATTTCATATAAGCTTCACTGCTTTCTGGCTATCATTACACTGTAAATGTAACTGCATGTGCTACGGACACAAGTCCTGGGCACTTGATTTTATCCACCTTTGGCAAAGGGACTGAAAATACCTGCATGCAAAGATGGCCCAGTGCTTTTTTCCATATATCATTTTTCTTCTGGCTCATATGTCCACAACTATAAGAACGGTTTATAGGCGTATTCAAGACACTGAAGATGCACGCAGGCTATTTGCAACTATAGGGGTCTTGACCAAACCATGAAACCACACAGAACATCCACAGCAGTCAGACTAATTGCAGCACAACGGAAATAAACACGAGAACATGTGTAAAATAATGATTTGAATGTAAACATTTATATTCCCATAAGTTCTTGCGCTTGCCAAAGAAAAATATTTCATTATGTGCAGTAGCTTGCTCTTAACTTCTTTTCCTCAAAGGCATCAGAAGTTACAGTATTCGTCCGCATTCACCAAAAAACGGTACATTGCTGTAATTTTACACCAATTTGTTGCAGTGTTTTAACTGAAATAATTGATTTTATGCCACGGTTGATAACAAATGTATCTCTTTCACAATGCAAAACCAACATTTGACATGGGTTTTTGTGTCATTTTCTTGAAATGTGAGATTTCTTTTTTCCAGTTACATAATAATAAGGACCAAGGAGATCATTTTCTTTCTTTTGAATCGTGTTCTTCTATCCACTAAGTCATTTCCTTTTGATTTACTCAATAAAGGTAACAACTTAAAAATCAACAGAGACAATTTCTTTGTCCCGTGTTAAACTTCTAGAAAAGAGTGTTCCTGTTTCCTCACACTGTGATTGTTAGGCATGTGGCAAAAAACAGGGCTCGCAGGACTCGAGGCTTTAAAATAACAGAATATATATTGAATATGTGAATATATATAATACAGCATCTTTGTTCAAGATGCTAGAATTGAGCATAATTTAAAGTTATGACAGTAAACTATTGTTAATTGAAAAACTCTTTTTAACATCTATTTAAAAAAGAAAGACAAATGTTCCAGTATTAACAGATAAACACACTGGGGCAATAACAGAATGATAGAAAAGTGTCAAATTGTTAGAAGAAAATGCTTATATATATATATATATATATATATATATATATATATATATATACATGGTAATGGTATTGTTCTCAGTCAACAGCAAATGTGTCACCCTGAGCATTATATGCATTTGGCAGTAAAAGTCAATGAGACGTGACAGATTACGGATGAATCATCGTTAACATATGCCTTTCCTCAACACGTCATCATTTCAGAGTCAGCGATGCAAGTTTCCTCTAGCCTCTCTGTTCAGAGGATTCCCTGTGAGTAAGAAATGCAAGGGAAACTGTAGGTGTTTCCGCCTCGCCTTCATAGCTGATCAGACATGACCATATACTCCAGTGAGTCACGGCACCCCGATGCAGGTGTGGTTGGTTGCTGTGTTTCATGACACGCTGCTGCTGTTGTGGTAACTACTTGAATAAAAAAGGGAGGCCAGTGCAGAAACCTCCCACTCTCTCTGCCTCTGTCTCTATACTGTTACCAGGACCTGCCCAGCCCTCAGGGTGTGTAAACAGGTGTGTGCATGCATACATTAGGAAGAAGAAAGGGATTACAACTTGATGGACACTTGTTTCCTTGCCAATGACGTGTTCACCTTCGAAACTCCATATGGGCTTCTTCCAGTATATTGTCAGGAACATGTCAGGAGTAAACCAGGTGAAGAGTTCTTAGCTAATCAGGTTGTATTATTTCCGGCCCATGTCATAAAGCCTCAAAGCCCAAACTTTTCAAGCCTCGGGCGTCTACGGCCGCCTCAGAAACAGGATTAGTCCCAAGGATCAGCCAGGAACATTCCTAGACTAGATAAAAGGGGGTTATAAGGTGGTGTGCATGTGTGTTTTTTCACATTTGTGTATGTATGTGTGTCCAGTGAGCATGAGTAAAAAGAAAACAAGCTCATCAAAAGGGAGGGCGTTTCCAGTCATCACACAACTTTGCCTATCCAGGTGTCAGCATGCATGTGACTGAATGTGTGCATGTGTGTCTGTATGTGTGAGTGAGTGTTGAGGATAATGATGTATGCTCCGTTGGCTTAAACCGCACTAAGCTAGGCATAACAAAGCTTTAAAAGGAATTGCCTCTCAGTTTCTATCAGCGAGAAGCCGGATCAGTGCTTGTGAACAACTTTCTTTAAAAGGCAGAATTCACAGAAGTCAAGCCAATGACCTGCCGGTGGAAATAAAAGTTGTTTCAATCACAGGTACTGACTTGGGGGCCACAAGATAAATCGAAAAGGAGTCTTGAGATGATGAACCTGGCAAGGAATCAGCAGCTTAGTCTCACTGAGGAGCTTTAACGTTATTTAAAAATCCCCCCACCCCTCCAAAACCATCTGATAGTATCTTCTAATCTATACTATGTAGTGTGTATATTGTATAGAGTTGAACCGAGTATAGAATACTGTATATGATATTTACACTTTAAGAAATGCCTTAATAAAATGTGGCAAAGAAATTTGACATAATGGTAACAAATTAGAGTGAAAATCGCTCTTTACGAAAAATACAGCATTTTATTTTTTTACATCTTTTTTACCTTCCTGTTGGATTAGAAAGCACTCTCATATTCCTCAAATCAGTATGAAACAACTGAGACTTTCAGCTTAGTTTAAGATAAGACTAGAAACAGACAAATTCATTAGGTATCCTGGCTTTGTGCAGACTTGAAGTAACTGCTGCTGGCTAAGAAAAGTTTTGGCAAATAACCTCCTGTAAAACCACAAATTGGTGTCGTTACACTATGTTTTAAACAAATGCGATGCATTTTAGTGGCACTTGAAGGTATGTTTTAGATTTAGCATTCTTAATGACAAGGGAAGCTAGCTGCACAGCAAAGAAGGTGGTCTAGATAGTTTCTTGTCACTCTCAGTAAGAAAGATAAAGGCTGTATTTCCATAACTGTGGGAGTGTTAAACTAGCCTGGACTGGACAAATTGGCGGTACTAGAATTGGCTAATTTTGTTAGAAAACATCATGGCGTCCTGCGTCAGGTACAGTGTTTTCTCAAAGTTTGCTGTTGGTCTTGTTCTATTTGTAAAAATTACAGTGTTTCATCTTTAATGTTTTGAATCAGTTATTTTCTCATGTTTAATCTTGGTTTTGCTGTGAATGTTCAAATAGTGAATTAGCACAAGGAAATTCACTCAGTGGTTGAACCTCCGGCAGATTGGATGAAAGATCAGGTAGACATTTTTTCCTTCTGAAGGCTAACAAGCCTGAAAGGTTGCTGCAAATCATCCTAGATTACAGCCAGAGGCCTCATCGACACTGAGATCAAGGCTCTCAGAGCAGCAGATGAAGCACAAGGGTCAAAGCGAACTTCTTCTCACACTCACCCACGTCTAGGATGTCAAGGGTGATGACATCAGAGGTAGCCCAGCCTAGCTGGTTTGAGGCCTCCACCCAGATCTCGTAAGGTGTGAAGAGGTGCAGGTCCTGGGTGATGCTGCAGGAGTATGGCTGTGTATGAGTGTAATCTGCACACTCTTTCTCTGTCCCATACCATCTGAAAGAAAAACAAAAAATACTGAACTCCACACAGCATTCAATAATGATCCTTCTAAAACACAATTTATTCCATGACGTGGTACAAGTTGCTAATTTATCCAGCTCTAGCATTTCTCTCAAATCTTTATACCAATTGAAATTGAATACAAACTATCTGTAGGTGCAGCATATAGACTTATTTTCCTTTTGGTGTTTTAAAACGGTTGATTCTTCTTATTATTTTTATTTAAAATCTATATATTTTATAGCGCTTATACCCCATATGAAAATCATTTTTAAATGTTTTGCTTCCACACTGAACCAACGTCTCATGACACTACTATTATTGAACAGCGTTCACTCTGGGTATCATGTGTGTTATTGTTCTTGAAAATAAATCCAGTGGTATTTGGATTTGTTTCCACCTCTACTTAGACTTCTTTCATGGGATTTTCTAAGGAATGTCAGTATTGTAAAAAAAAAACAAAAAAATCTTATGAAATATATTGATTTTAACTGAAAACATTTGCGGTGGGCTTACTCGTTTAAAACCTTGGCTGCATTTTCATGTTTTATTTTGTTTTTCACTTCATCCATTAAGTTAGGCTACTGAGAAATGTTACTAACTGGCCAAAAGCCCTCTGTGCCAACTGGACAGTCATAGCACAATAGTAGTAAGTAAGCATGAAAGGTCTCGATGCTTGCTTAACAATCCAGTTAAGGAAATCCCAGAGAGTTGATTGTGTTCATCTGGATGCAATGTTTTTAGTGGGATAAAGCTTTCATCACTCATCCAAGTGAATTCTTCAGTCTCTAAGACTAAAGAAATCACTTGGATGAGTGAAAATGCTGCATCCAGATGAAAAGAATCAACTTTCTGGGTGAAAGGCTTTCTTTTTTTCCCAGCATGGCGTTGATAGGTCCACTATAAGACCAACTGTACAACTACTGAAAGACTTTTTTTAAAAATGGTTTAGGTTTCTCGGACAATGTTGGAAGAATCTATTGCTGTGAAAGTTATTCCTTTTCTGCTTTTGCTTTGTGTGAAAAGTGAAGCTTTGGCTGTCTTGTTCAGGTTGTCTCATTCACACTCTGTGAGCATAACTCTGGTTTGGGGTGTTGCTGTTGTTGCTCTGAGGCTTAGAGGTTTGATGGTGGGTTTGCAGTGGTGGATTCCTGTTTTTCCATGAAGTAGTTTTGCTCTTTCTTGTCCCTTAGTTGATCATTGCCCCTTAGATCATTGATTTTTTCTATCCACGAATCGTGCAAACCAAAGTAACTATGTTGGTCAAGTCAAGACAAAACTGTCTGATTAGTAACTGCAACGTTTAGAACAGTGATGTAATGAACAGTAACTATCTGCTTGTCCAAAGCTGAACATTCTCACATATAGCACACAAGCAGAGATTATCTGTCACAGATGTGTTCTTACTAATGGAACTACTCCCTTTGGTTTAGGAAAATGGGTGTCGGCTTTCTAGAGTGACACATGATAGCCACCAGCTAACTGTTCTCACATGGGTTCATTTGGATACTACACAAACTGTGTATTAGGGAGCTGGCAGGATAAAGTGTGCTTAATTTGCAGTCCGAATGATTCAGATGTTTGCATTCTCGTGCAAAGCTGTGTGTGTGTAGGTAATGTGTAGATAGTAGTGTAATTGATTTAGATCATTTAAAAAACAGTGAATTGAGTCACTTGTAAAAGTTAAGCTGCAGTGCGTGTGTGCATACCTGAGTTTATACTTGAGCTTGTACTGCGTGCTGATATTAGTCTCTCCTTTTCCCCCCGGGGCCCAGCTACAAGTCAGGTCTTTGGTGTTCCTGGACCAACAGGTCAGATTGATTGGCTTCACTGGAGGCACTGGGAGACAATGGGGTGAAGATGGACAGAGAGTAGGACGAAGACAGAGGGTGGGGGAAATTTGTGAAGAGAAAAGAGAGGAGAAAAAACATGGCAAAGGAGAAATGATGAGTGAGGGTACAAAGTGATATTCCTCTGAAATAGCTGTTGTTTTGGGGTTTTTGTTACTGCATGTTCATCTCTCAGAACACAAGGTGCTCAGGTCTAGTGTCACACAGAGATGAAGATCTTGTTGATTGCATCTTTCTGTGTGTGTGTTAGAGAGAGCGTGTTTATGGTTTTGTGTTCTTGCAGTTCTAGTAAGCATTCTCATCACGGTTAATAATAGTAGTAAAAGCTCTTTAAACTTACTGTAATGAAAAAAGACCAAAGAATACAAACGGTAATGAACACAGATCGCATTTTAAAGACTTAAATGATGTAGAACATTATTATCAACACCAAGTTAAGTGATTTATATAATTTGGTTTCTTCACTTATCTCTCACTATGTTTCTAAATCCAAACATAAAGTACACAGGCTATACTCACTGGACACTTTATTAGGTACACTTTGCTAGTACTGGCTAGGCCCCCTTTTACCTTCAGAACTGTCGTAATGCTTCATGGCACAGATTCAACACAGTGCTGGAAACATTCCCCAGTTTTAGCCCCTGTGGACACGAGAGCTTCACCCAGTTGCTGCACATCCCCGATGTGAATCTCCTGTTTCTTTACATCCCAGAAGTGATCTATTGGGTTTAGATTTAGTGACTGTGGAGGTCATTGAAGTACATTATTTAGAGAGATTATTTGAGCTTTGTGACATGGTATGTTATCCTGCTGAGAACATCCATCATCAGAGGACGGTGGTCAGCAACTACACTCGGCGGGGGCTGTGATGTTTAAACGATCCTCGTTTGGTGCTTTGGGATCCGGAGTATTCTAAGAAAATATCCCCCACACAATTACACCACCACTGCCAGCAGACTGAACCACTGATACAAAGCAGGACGGATCCATGCTTTGATGTTCTGAACCTACCATGTGAATCTTGCAGCAGAAACTCATCAGACCAGACAACATTTTTCCAGTTGTTTATGTCCAATTTTAGTGAGCCGTGTGAATTGTTGGTTCAGTTTTCTGTTCTTAGCTGACAAAAGTGGCGCCTGGTGCGGTCTTTTGCCGCTGTAGCCCATCTGCTTTAATGTTGAACATGCTGTGCGATCCAAGATGCTCTTTTTCATACCTCGCTGCAATAAGTTGTTATTTGAGTTACATTGTTACAGTCTGGCCATTCTCCTCTGACATTTGACATCAACAAGGCTTTTTCACCCAGAGAAATGCCATTCATTTCTCTTTTTCAGACCATTCTCTGTAAACCTAGAGAAGCTTGTGTCCCAGTAGATTAGTAATTTTAAAATGCTCTGCAACCAACAGCCACGTCACATTTAAAATCACCTTCTTCTCAGCAAGTTGTGCTGACCATGTCTGCATGCCTAATGAGTTGCTGCCATATGATTGGCTGATTAGATAAATGGGTATACCTAGCAAAGTGGCCAATGAGCGTATGTTTTTTTCCAGGACCCACACCTGCCAGTTCCCTGCCATAATAACATGGATGGCATTACTAAGTCTTGCCACCCTGTTAGTGAGATTATTGCTATTTAACTGTCACTATTCAAGTCCTTATATGTCTACTTGTATTCTGGCTACAAAAATAAGCACATTTTTCATAGTCTCATACTGTTTCAGAGCAAACAGGAATACGCCATATTAGAGTTGTCATAAGCCCCAAATCAGTAAGTTCTATGAAGTTTACTGTACCAATAAAAAAAAGAAAAACAGTACGTCTCAAAACTGTAGAAGTACAGACATGTGTGTTTGTGCGTGTGTAAAATGTCAGGCCCATACTTTATGAGTGATAGTGCGAGTAATGGACCACACAGGTGGTTAAAGCGTCGGGCAATAGAGGCCTCTCGCTGGGCCTGAAGGCAGGAACACTAAACATAAAATACAGCTACAAATGTGCAGGGACACTTAAAAATCTGCCCACTACCTGGTTGCTGTTTCCTTTTACTCCCATTTCCTTTTCATTCCATTCATCTCTTTGGTGTATTGCTCCTCTAAGTCCTCGCCTGCACTTATACATTTATGTAACATTTCCTCGTAGCGAAGCAGAGAAGCAGATGCAGAGAATCGTCAGAGGAATAAGATTATTTTAAAGTTATACATTTTATACTTCAACTTACTGCCAACATAGAGACAGGAGCCAGCCAGTATGTGTCCCTTGTGATTGTGACAGACAAGGTTGTCACCAGATGTTTGCTTGGAGGCATTGAGTCCTGCCAGCGTCACACTGAGGTTAGTCGCGCTAAGCACTCTGTAGAAGGAGCTGGGCAGCTGTTGACCATTCAGTGTCCAGAAAAGCGAGCTGGCGTGGACGCCAAGTTCGGGGTGGACCCAGCAGCTGGCTGTCAGGTTAGACCCAATGCGAAGTACAGGGTCCTGAGGGTAGATGATTGCTACATCTGGAGGAGGGTGGGAGGACATGGATATTAGAGGGAGTATGTCTTTCGAATGGTTTTAAAGTTTAGGCTAATATTTGAAAAAGTTACTGCCTGTGTTCAAGGGGCACTTCAGATGTACTAAAGTGTAGCTGAAGACAAAATATCCAATTATCTGCTGGAACCTTTATTAACAGTTTCAGAATTGTGCCCTACTTCCCTTTCATTTTTGGAGCCTAGTGACTTCGCTCTCGGCCCCTCAACTTTCTGATAATGCTCTGGTGCTTTTCACCACCTCCAGCTGGATAATGTTGCTCTATTTCAAATTCCTGTTCCCTGCTTTCCAGAACCACTCAGTCCTGCACCGTGCTCTCAGGTTTAGTGTTTCTTGGCTCTAGTGGAGCTTTGTTAGCAGGGCAGTGCTTATCTTGTAAGCTGAAGGCATGCTGTTTCTGGTCATAACATGGACATGTCCTAACATATTAGTCAACATGTTTTTATCATCTTGAGACACTGCTCTGGTTCTTTTACTCGGAATCTGTTTCCAGCATAAAGTCCCTCACCCACAGATGGGTTCTGACTCGTCAGACTCCATCGACAGCTAAACTGGTCCTGCTGCAATGTGGATATGAGGGGCTGCCAGGCATGTTAGCAGAATCCCTGGCAATTTTATTTCACAGCTCCACTCAACAGCTTCCTGAGCCTCTTACTACAAAGCCACACTGTACACCCTACAAGCCTTTTCCCCCCTCACTGAAACCCCTAACAGAATGCTACACAGTGCCACCATCAATATATGCTTGATGCCATGCCTGTGCAGGGTTTTACACTCTGTGCTCCCTGAGCTCATGAGCACAGGAGTTCAAGAGTAGCAAAGATAAGTTTCAGTATTTATGGAATGCAATGGCTGAGCGTGAATCAACTTATTGTGAACAGTGAGACCACTGAGGCACACACAAATCCATATGGAATCTCATCAATGGTGGAGTTAGACACTCCCATGGTTGTAGCTTGGTTGATTTTGCATGCCTGTCTCAGCATATGCATTCATGTTTGGCCACCACATGTAGCTGCGGGCCAATGTCTTCATTCTTGAAACCCCTGAAATGGCCTCATGAAGTTGTACTTGTGCTGGAATTATCAAAAGGCTTTCCCACAGTATGAAGCCCTCATCCACACATCTTCTACCTCCAACTCACGTTGTCGCCTTACGTAGCACTGCATGTAAACTCTACAGGGCACCACATCACAGTCAGCCCAGTCCTATGTCTGATTCACCTGTAAAGGTTTGCTGTGCCTGGTTTGCAGTGGAAATCTACTGAGTTGTCAAATTTAAGCCTTCCTTATATTCCATGACGTAAACACAGGCTGCCCAGCATTTTAGCTGCTGTAAGTTGTGTGATGCCCTATTTTCCTCTAAAAGTCAGATCAGCTCTTTTTGGTATGTCACCCTGTGTTTTGGCAATTAGGTATTAATTCTTTTGTTCTTATTTTACGTGTAAGCGGAAAACGATGGGCAAAGCCTCATTCCACAGCCTCAATCCTTAGTTTGTGTTCCAACAGTGCTGCCCTGCCCAGCGCATCACATTTGAAACATCACTGTCATGAAGGTGGTTTGCTGCCCCCTTGCTGTACCGCGACAGTGGGTTTGCTCACTGTCTGCTGCATGGTTGGCTAGCTCAACTCCCTGCTCCAATCTGATTTTGTCCTCTGCTTGTGGTGGCTGATTTCTGCACACCATCCTCAGTGAAGCCACATTTCAAATTCCCGCACTGAGAAAAAATGGCTTTTTTTGTACATTACTTGAAATTTGTTGAAGAAAATTCAGAAGAAAATGAACTCTGAGTCCGTTTTTCTTGTTTTTCTGTAAATCCACCAAATGAAAATAATCCAAATGTTAAAGCATTAATGGGACAACTGGCATTGCACTGATTAGTTAGTGCTATTTGTGAAGAAATGTAATTAATGTTTGGGATTCACAGGTTTGCCAGCCTGTTATGTAACAATTTACCAGTGAGCAAAAGATAACTGCTTATTTGTGCCATATTTGTTGCCCGTTAAGGAACCTCGTCCTGTTGTAGATTATAGCTTTGGTACCTGTTTAGGACTGTTTGTTTTATATAATAGCCTCGCCTCTGTCAGTGCGCCCCAGGGCAGCTGTGGCTACAATGTAGCTTGCCATCACCAGTGTGTGAATGTGTGTGCGAATGGGTGAATGACTGAATGTAGTGTGAACCGCTTTGGGGTCCTTAGGGACTAGAAAAGCGCTATACAAATGCAGGACATTTACCATTTACCATAATTGTTGAAGGTTGCGAGACCCACTTCTGCTGAAATATAAGTTTTAATATAGAAAAAGCACAGCCAACATAGCATGACACTGATTACTTTTGTTTTGCCCTCATTTAGACCCCTAACAGAACGTTAGAGTAGCAATAATTAAAATCTTACTGAGAAAAAACCCTCCAAAGTTTTTCTTTTTTCCAGTGTCCTGTCTAAACCATCTGCTTCATGATTCTGTGACAAAAATCTGCAACTAATAAGGGATGAAATGTCTGAATTGGATTATCTCTCACAATCAAGCAAATGTGCATGCTTGTGCATGCTGAGCTTCATGCTGTAGTATGTAGTGCAAATGCTTCTGTGTAAAATTATTTGGGCAATGCAGAGTTTGCGCTATTTTGCGATAAAACATCTGACAGAAAGAGCACAGACATGCGCTAATGCAGTTTCGTTAGATCTCTTAACCCTCCCTCTCTCACTTGCATTAGCTAACACTGACGCAGTTCAGTTTCGTTGCGTTTTTGTATTTTTAGTTGTTTTAGCAAAGAAGCTGCTAAATGGTCAGAGAAAGAGTTTAGCTGTTTATCTCTTTATCTTATCTGACAACTGAAAGTCAAACAGTGGAGCTTTGATCTCACTACACATGAACAAAATGATAAAGGAACAAAAAAAGATGGGGATATGGAAGAGAAGAGAGGAGACAAGAGGAGACGAGAGTTGAAAAAAATGACGCTAAGTCCAACGTATTGAAAAGCGCGGAACTGTGGAAAACCTTTTATGAAGGAATGAGCGAGGAACACTGACTGAGAGCATCAATACTTTGTTAGACCTCTGTAAATCTGTGCCCGGGGCCACATCTATTCAGCTGCCAGCCACCTTGCGCTTACAGACAATGTTGTGGGTCTTTTATGGAGGAGTCGCCTTTGAACAAGCGAAATCAACTGTAACTCCGCTCCAATATTAATATGGTAACCCCATCTTGAGCTCTGACACAACACTTGCACACATTTATGCACACACAAATGAACACAAACAAACACTTGCACAGAGGCTGGGTTGTCTTTGTCACCGGATACAGTGAACTGCGATCCATCTGAATAACAATCAGTGTTTATGTATTCCAGGCACTGAGGACATTGCCCCTGAGCAGGGTGCGAAGCCCCTTTAACACTCCTTCAAACACGGCGGTTCTAGACGAAATTACTGCTGTTTATTGCCTCTTGGACACACTCACTGGAGGAAATGGTTTGTAAAATATTATTTGTTTGGAGAGGTTGAGGCAACTCGAAACACAGCTCTCATTGGGGCAGGAGACGAGCTTAAGCCTGCGATGGAGATGGATGAAGTTACGGGGCGAGTTCAGCCGAGGAAAAGTTTTGAACTTTTGTTTGAGAGTGAAAGGTCTCCAGTGGACTTAAGCGGTATTGAGGCTGTCAGTCTTCAAAGGTACATGCCACCTCCTCTTTGTATTAAAAAGCTCCTCTCACTCATTCATGCAACGCTTGAAAGGCAGCCAATACTTTTCTCTGTCTGCTTAATAGAAGTACATGTGGAACTTTTTGAGGGGCCGCTTGGACAAGCCAAGTGAAAGAAGTCACGCAACATTTAGTGACAATGAGCCATGCAACGTCGTTGGTAAAGAGACCGAGGAAACAGCAACGGATGTTATTTGTTTCTCTTGAGTTTTTTGTTTTTTTACAGGTTTACATTTGAGTTATTTAACTGATGGTCTTATCGAGAGAGATTAAATTAGCTTATCTTAGTTTAAATAGGGCGCACAAAAGGAAAATATAGGATAGAATAAGTTTGTTTCTGATTAAAAGTCTGTTTTGTTTTTAAAAAAAAGTTTTAAAAAAATATGATAATATCCTACATAAACGTCTCATTGTTTGTTCACAGAAAACTAAAAATGTAAAAGTTTATGAGCTGCAATGAAAACTAATTATATGTTAGTGCAAAAAAAATCCACATTTAAACTGTTTTACTATGGTGGCATTCGTAAACCGCAGCATAGTCAGTGAAAGGGAAGCAAAGTCCATTATTACAATGAATAACATGGTAATGACCGATTATGTCGTATAATAAACAGCAGGGTGGCTTATGATCAGGGCCCATTGTCTCCTTTAAGCCCTTAAAACTGTAGTTTCTTTTATTAGTGCCTTTGAAACAGGATGAATAGCAGGAGATCCTCACAGTGGAGCTGCTGTTTGCCAGCAAGCTCGCCATAAAAACTAATCCAACCACTTAAAGAGTGAAATGGACATAACTTTGATTTATTTAGATTATTGTGCATTAAGCTGGTGGTTAACATTCTCCACAACCCCAGCAGATGATGTCATTGTGTTGATGCGGTTCGTAAAGCCCCCATGCTCTCCATGTGTTTAACGAGTTATGGCCTGACTTGTTGAAAATCAGCCTCATGGGAGATGAGTTCTCTCTGCAGGGAAACGACCAGTTTACTACAGCAGGAGCCCATCTATAACATGAGCTGTCAAGTGGACAAAGTGGCCGTTTTCTTTTTTCGTTTTTTTAAATGTATCCAGAAAGCCAGCAAAGTGGATCCAGTATGTGTCCCAAGGAAGTGACCTGCTGTTATGTAAGGCAACTTAGGAAAGAATCCGTGGAATTGGTGTTATTTTAGATTGGAAACACATTGTAAAACAGTATTATTAAAAAAAAAAAAAAAGACCCCTGCAATTCCTGCATGTTCTTATATGGGGTTCATACAATATTTCTTGTATGGAAACTATTTGTGGTCAACTATTTTTACTCTACTTGATATGAGCATAATATTTATTAGATTTATCCTTCTGTGTGTTTTTTCCAATGACTAATATTTCTTCTTAAGTAATTGTGTCCCACGTGGTATCATTAAAACACTGTTGTGCAAAAAAAAAAACTGCATTTCCCCCTTCAAAATCGTATTACTACAGCGTAATAATCCAATATTAACTTGCCTAATACATTTCTAAAACGTTTTACTGTAGTAGCAGCAAAAGTCTATTTTTACAACATATTTATCGCCAGAATCAAACATACCGGAGCAGGACTTACACTGTCACATGGTGCTGGTGTTTACATTGGGATATTAGGGTGACACTTGGTTTGCATTGATTTCTTCCGAAAACTACATGAATATTAAATTAAAAAATAAAATTAAAAATTAGAATAAAATAAAATAAAATAAAACATAACAAACATATATAGCCAAACCCCCCAAAGCCTTCCCCAGCACTATCGTAACTTTGCGCATCGATGGACATCTGTGTGCAACTTACGTGTGGACAAGGACACCACGCCGGGAATGTGCAGCGTGAGGAAAATCAAGCAGAAATCCAAGACGCCTTTCATTTTCCACCAATTACTTTTCTATATGTCTTGACTTCTCGTCCTCGTGTTGTTGCTCTGTCGCCTTTTTTTTCCGATCGATCCTGGATACAAATTACGCACAGCAGAAAGAGGAAAAACACCACGGGTTCCAGGACCGGATTTTATTAACTCTCGGGACTGAAGAAGCGCACTAGAAAAAGTGTGACCAAGTGTGGAGGCAAAAAAAACACCCTCTGATAAGTCTTGGAGTAACTTGTCCTCATTAAAGCCAAAAAAAAAAGCGTGGGCATTACCACGTCCTGTTTGCAGTCTTCTCCCTTCTTAATGCTTCCTGCAGCTAAATCATACACAAGTTCATACTTTTTAAGCCCCTCCCCTCTCTCTCGCTCTCTCTTGCTCTCTGTCTCTCTTCCCACACAGTCGCCAGTCATTTCCCCCTCTTTCCGTCCTTTCCCTGCTTTTTTTCTTTCTCTCTCTCTAAGGCTCTCCCCCCTTGAGTGATGGTTAGAGCCATTCACTTTCACTGAATCACTCTGTCTCTGTTACTTTCCATGCCTCGGGTCTGTGCTTTACAATTTTTCACCATATGAGGCTATTGAGTTAGTGAGTGCTACAGGAAAGGTTGCCAAAGCTAAATCTTGTCTCTCCATTTTAATCCTTGTGTCAATGAGGAGATTCTTTTTCTTCCTAACAGACTCCCAAGTGAATTATGACATTTCCTCATTAATTCTTGCCGAGTTCTGCTCAGATATTTAACAGTGTTATATTATGACGTAATGATAACTGTATCCCTTAATCCTTTTAAATAAATTCCTAAGATCTTTTAATGTGCAATTTTTGTTTTCTTTTGTTTGGTTTGTTGCAGGGATGTTACCATTGAAACGTGTATCTTTGTTCAGCCTGTGGATGGGAATATTTTCATTTTATTGTTATTTTTTAATCTGCATTGATCGGTCTTGGAGCAAACATCTAGCCTACAGCTGTTCCACTTTTTGGGCACACTGGCATCAAAAATTAAATTGTTTAGCATTAAAAGGGAAATTAGCTTTAGAGACTCTTTTATGTTGGCCACCAGGGTTTATTCAACGGGAATGCACGTGACGGAAATATGAAAAACTCGTTCCTTAACATTAACAGTTCCAGCTCTATTGTAGTGAAACTGCCAGCCACTATGGCTAGACACTGAATAAGCAATAGTCAAAACACAGAGCTGCCAAACACCCACAGACTGCTTCACTCACTGCTGATTTATTTCATCTTTATTCAGTGTGACCTTTCAGTCTAGATTATCATCATCAAATATGTAAACACAAGGGCCAACAGACTCATAGATGCTGGGAAGATTAACCAGTCTCCTGACCACAAAAATAACAGGCCTTTTTCTCGGCAGTCATTTCGTCTTGTCATAGTCTGGGTCGTTAACGTTAACAGTCTCGCCGTTCCCCCTAAACGTCCCACCGAATCAGTGGCTCCCTAAAATACATTTGCACCTGTGCTTTTACTTTAACAAGTTGAAATTTCACACACAACGTTTCTGAAAATGAAGCAGCTAAATGGAATTGGACCATTATTCATTTGAAGTTGTTCTTTGACAAGTCCAAATATCTCCAGTATAAAGGTCAGCTAGGCAAGGAAACGCCTCAAGGAAACTCATGAGTGATTCAGGGAAAAGGCAGTGGTCATAAACATCATGTTGTCATACATCACCGTTCATGTAACTTCAGCTTTCAGAAGACATGCAAGCAATGTAAAATATATGAATATATATAACTGAATATACCAGCAAAAAGCTGCAGACTAATCCAAGCAATAGAAATTCTACTTTTTGTCTTTATGGAAGAATGGATAAAATAAACAAAGTGCAGTCCTGTGGATGCCAGTAACATAATGTGCATAATTTTGAAAATAGGAGCAGACAATGAAGATCTCAAGGCTGATATTAACTGGAAACGTTTCAGAAATATGTTCATGCACGACTGTGCACACATGAAAAACCAGTGCCTGCTTATTTTGGCCAATCAGCATCTAATTTATACTGAAGATAAAATTCCTCAGAAGAAGAAGACAAGGGTGACTTTTGTTTCCAGAGAAGAAACTCCAATTCCACAGAGGAAAAGTTGCCCTCCAGCGGAGGTGTGGTATCAGCTCAGTTTAAATTCATCAGGATCTGAGTGGGAGTCCTCTGACACAGGAATCCGGCAACTCGTTGGCTGCTTCAACAGACGCTAGAGGAAATGCAGTGACATGGGGTCACACTGCGATTGAGAACAGTGAGACATGTGGGGCCCAGAGTTTGTCTGGAGAACAGGAACATTTTCATGTTCATGGTTTAAATGGGCGCTGTGACTAATATTTGACTAACATGAGTTAGTCTTGCTTGTCCTTTCCTGGTTGAGTCAGCAGGAGTGCGCCCACAGTGCCAGCCTAACAGCCACGATGACCTTTAGGTCCTGGCCTACAGGGTCCGCCATTATCCTCCCTCAGAGAGGGCTCTTGTTTGTGGGACAGTTCCCGCTCGTGCTCTATAGTTATTTTCCAGGAAGCGTGAAAAGAACTGTGACACTGACGTGACTGTTTGTGTCACTTTTCCGAACATTTCGCTCATTCGCCTATTCGCAGTGTTAGAACAGTTAATTCATGGCAGACCTTTGTCACCATCTTGGCCCTGTGAGTGAAATTGATGTGTCAGTGTCTTGGCTTGTGGGTTTTATGCTGCTATTGTCTCCCATTTTTATTGGCACGCACACATGCACGCCTCTCTCACACTCAACATCCACGAGCTCCCTCTTCCTTCTCTGTTACATGTCGGAAAACACATGCATACAAAGGCAAACACTGCCATCGCAGTGTGGCATAAACAGTCACAGTGCCATGCAAATAAAACCTCTTACAGCCCAGCTGTCCTTAATCCAAAACCCCACGGGCACAGAACGGAAGTGTTGAGAAAGTCAGCGCTGATAGTTACGTGAAGTAAGACACGGAGAATCGGAAAGATCGTGAAAGCAGCAAAGACAATGGTGAACATGACGGGGAAGCCTCCTCTGTAGTAACACCAGTCATATAAGGACCACAAGATGAGAGTGCAGGCTCGGTGTAAACAAATGGCAAATGTCTGTCAGTGTCGTGGCATTTCTTATTGTCCTGCCCTGTACAAGAAGACTGGTTTCACATTTATCTGCAAAGTGCTTACCTTAATTCTGAGTACATTGAAGCTTTTGTAACATCACTAGGTTGAAAATCATTCCGCCTTAATTAGAGTTACAAGTGAGACATGGAAGCATTTTAAATGGGCTTTCAAGCAGATCAAGATATGCATGTTGTGCAAAGTCATCTAATTACTTCAGTGAAACATTTCTAAAAAGAAAACATACAATTGTAACTCAGCTTTATCTTTTTATAAAGACAGTCAAACTGATTGTCAAGGGGGCAAAGACACACAGACAAACAGACACACAGACGGAGTGGGAGTAATCAAGGAGAATCAGGACATTTCCCCAATCAGGACTGTTGGAATACCAAATTCTTCAAAAAAAAAAAAGTAAGCAAAACGTCTAAAATGATTTATTCCAGCCCTCTTTAACCTCTCTGAGACATCTTTCATCAGAGAGATGAGAAATGAAAGATAAATAAAGAAGGATATAAGCAGATATCATCGTCATTTGACAAAATACGGAGCAACAATGTTTACGCAGAGCAGCAGAGGAAAGCAGTAGCTCTGCAGAGCTGAATACACACGCGCCGTTTGTTGCCTTTTCTTTCCTACGCTGAGTGAAAAAATGATTAAGAAAATGATGGGATTATCCATCATATCAAATTTATAAAAAAAACTTGCCAACTAAAGCCGCTGTTATTTCCACAGCTCAGGAGTGCCATTGCAATCAATGGCACTCCAAATCCACCAAAAGCTGCTAAGCTCCAAGAAGTTAAAGAAAAAAAACTACTTAAGTCACTAGATAGCATGCATTGCACTGCTTGGATTAATTAGGAACTGGAATTACAAGTAATATTTTCTTCTTTTCATAGTTTAATGTGGATAAAAGAGGGTGGGGACATTTAAACATGTATATACATGTATTTATGTAAATATGTAGCACATGAGTCGATAGAAATAGTGGTGTAAAAATATTTAAAACATTAGATTACATAATTGTGATTGAACTTTTTAACTTGAGCTAATAGATGCAATCCTTTATCTGTGTAAACTAAAAACAGAACCAAAGGAAAAAAACTTTACACTTTGCAGCCTCTTTTTTTTTTTTTTTTTTTTAACAATGCTGCCAGACTTTTTTTTTCCCAGCTTTTGAAGCCAGGATGGAACAAAGTGTCTTAGGTTCCTGGAAAAAGTGTTAAAACTATACCAAAAGGCTTTTCCTTCATTTAAGCATTTTAAATTAAAAATAAAAGGGAAAAAAATATTTAATGTAACAATCATGACAAAAACATGAAGTAGTAAATAAAAACAGATATACATTATTAAAACTGAAAAATACATTACATAAATACAACATTAATTGGGGGTTTTTTTTAAGTGGAAATAGAATAAAAGTTAAAGATTTTAGGATATAAACAAAATCCTGTGGAAATTGACAGATTTACATCTTGCTTGGCAGTCATTAACAGTCAAATACTGTAAGAAGTTCAAAACAATAGTCAGTGGCTCCAGATAATTACATCCTTCAATGAGCGTTAAGTTGCCTTTAGAAATCTTACAAGTCATGCACTAATCTAAACAGACCCATTAAAGTCTTAACTAAAGGATTTGTTGACTTTGTTGTACTCTGCTGAAAAAAAAAAAAACGAAAGAAAAGAAAACACAGAGTAAACAATTCATTACCAGGAAACTGGAAAGGCTCTGAAAAGCAAACCAGGGACTAATCAAAGGAATAGAAGCAGAAGAGAAGAGAAGGAAAACACAGTGAGCAGACGGAGACAGCAAAGAAAAGTTCGAGATTGGGTTAAAGACAACAGAAAAAAGAGCAGCCACTGAGACAGACATATTTGAAGAGAGAGCAGGGGCAGGAGTGTGTGTGTGTGTGTGTGTGTGTGTGTGTGTGTGTGTGTGTGTGTGTGTGTGTGTGTGTGTGTGTGTCAAGGGGGCAAAGACAGACAGACAGACACACAGACAGACAGACGGAGTGGGAGTAATCAAGGAGAATCAGGACGTTTCCTCTGTAATACCCACAGGCCCCGGCTGAGCCCCAGCTCCGCAATCCTCGCTGATTGGAGGGAAGGGTTTGTTTGAAGAGGAGGTCAAGACCATCAGTACCTTGTTAAGGAAAAGTTTGTGTCCAGAGGAATGAAGAAGGCTGACTCCTTCCTGAGGAATTCATAGGGGGATAGTGAGCGGTATGTGTATGTGCGTTTGTGT